CCGCGCCGTTCCCGTCCCTGCGCCCGTCCCCATCCCGTCCCCAGCCCCGTCCCGTCCTGTCCCCGCAGCCCCGTCCCCGTCCTCAGCCCCGTCCCTCCCCAGCCCGTCCCGCGCCCGCTCCCAGCCCCGTCCCGTCCCCAGGCCCCGTCCGCGCCGCGTCCCCAGCCCCGTCCCCTCCCAGCCCGCGGCGGGCGCCGCCGCCCCCCCCTTCACGCGAGTTTTAATATACCTATTCTTGATGTTTCAATATGTCTCCAACAACATCCTGGGGGGGAAATATCCACGAAAACCCGCACACACAGACGTGGAGGGGGAGCGTTCCATCTCGCTCCAGGCCCCAATGCGCCCTGGCAAAGCCCCGCGCTCCTGCAGGCCCGGGCTCACCCCTGACGCCGGCCCTGTGGGGCCTGTCCAGTTTCACAGCAGCGGGGCCCTAAACTCCTGCCACCACCCCCTCTCTCCTTTCACTGTCTCCTAAAAAAAAAAAAAGAAGAAGGTCTAAAATGTAATAAATGAGGGCCTGATGATGAGATGAAAACTGTTTTCATTATCTTCTGTGTCTGGCTTGTTGTTAAATTTTGTTTTTCCTTCCAAATTTCCTGTGCCTAGCATGCAAACACACACACACACACACACACACACACACACACACACACACACGGGTTTTTGTTGTTGTTGTTTTAGAAAGTTCTTTTAGAAAAGGGGGTTGATCTAAGCAAAAGAGTGACCACCTGTGGAAACTTAGCAGACGTTGTAAGTACAGATTCCACCTAGGAGACGAACCAAAGAAGGGCCGATTCGACTTCAGGGTGGGTTTTGGGGCCATTCTCGTCTTGGATTGTTGTAAGGGAAGGGGGATTGGTAGTAAAGCAATAGGTGTGTGTGTGTGTGTGTGTGTGTGTGTTGGGAGGGTGTTTATAGGATTATTTTTCTGTACTTTCCTTCGTTCAGCTTCCATTGCATCACGCAGAGTGATGGGTATTCTGCGAGAGCGGAAATACTGAGCACGGCGAAACAATGTTCCCACGAAGAACTACAATGTAACACTCCCATTGTCACTATGTAAAAACAAGGTCTACTTTCTGTTAAGTACATCTAGTATCTCAAAGAGTTGTGTCCTTTATCGGTTTCCGTAGTGTAGCGGTTATCACGTTCGCCTCACACGCGAAAGGTCCCCGGTTCGATCCCGGGCGGAAACACAACTCCAATTGCTTTTCGTTTTTCCATTATAGGATTTCACCGATTTTCAAACTAATATTAATAACGATTCTGGTCTGATTCTTTTTTCTTCTTTTTCCTCCTGCCTTTCAGGTATTTTGATGGGCTTTTAAAAGTGACTTCAAAGTAACAGAAATTCTTGCCCGATGACTTTATTAGGCAGTTTTTAGAAAAGGCAAAAAAGGGGAACACCACCGGCTGCGTTGGCCGGGAATCGAACCCGGGTCAACTGCTTGGAAGGCAGCTATGCTAACCACTATACCACCAACGCCGCGGTGCTCACAACGTTTGCCGGACGACCTTAAGAGGACAGGCATTGGCTCCTCCGGGTGATACCAAGTTAGGTAGGGGGTGTCTTTCCCTAGAGTCCTCCGGGAACACATCGCCCCACGGAGCGTTCCACCCGTTGGCCGCGAGGGCCGCGCCAGGAGTCCCCCCCCAGCGCCGCGGGCCCCTTGGTGCGGGCCTGGCGCTGTCCAATCCCAGACCGCCGCCTGGGCCGCTCAACTTCCGGGTCAAAGGGGCTTGAGCCGGCGGGTCCCCAGTGTCCGCCGCCACCGCCGTCCCCCCGCGCCCGCCACTTCCGGGGCCGCAGTCCGGGGCATGGAGCCGCGAGCCTGAGGCGCTGCCGGCCCCGGGACGCCCTGCCCAGCGCGGCCGCCGCCCCGCGCCCCGGTGAGCAGCGCCTGCGCGCCCCGTCCCGCTCGGCCGCGACCGCGCCCGCCATGGAGCGGCCGCCTCAGCTCCCCGGCCGGCTCCGCCATGGCCGGCCCTGGGGCCCTCGCGCCGCCGCCCGTCGCCCCCGGCGCTTCACCCGCGCTGGCCTCTGCAGTCGCTCCGCCGGCGCGCCGCCCCGGCCCGACCCCCGCCCGGCCGCCCTTCCGGGGTGGCCGCGCCCGGGAGCGCCCTCGCCGGCTCGGGCCGGCCTGGCTCTCGCGGCTGCCTCTGCCCGAGCGGGCGCCGAGGGCCTGCCCTGCGCCCTCCCGCCGTGCGCCCCCGGTGGCGCGCAGAGCTCCCTCCCCGCGCCCGCGCGGCCGCCCACCGCCTTCCCGCACGCGCTCGGCCCGGCCCCGACGCGGCCCTCGGAGCCGCCCTCCCCCGGCCCCGCTCCCGCGTCCCCCGGGGCTGGGGGGAAGTCACTGGCCTGGGCGGCAAGACCGAACCTGCTTTCGAGGAGCTGGGACTAACGCCCGGGAGGGGTGGACTCTAGTCGCCAATCCCCGCCGTCCTCGCTGGGTCCTGGGGGACCTGGGCCCCGTGGGATGGCCCCTCTCCCAGGTCCTGTCCGGGGCGTGCAGTCGGCGCTGCGCGGCTGCGAGGCACAGCTAGAACCTAGCCAGGTAGATCCGGGCCCCACGGTCTGCGGCTCCTGAGTGAAGGAGGCTTGTCGTTTCTCCAGGGCCCGCCACGTTAATGACACGTTTGTTCTGTCGAGGTCTGTGTCCCGTGTCTGCAGCTGGAATGGAGACTTCTTGGACCCGTTAGAAGGTGAGTTCTCGGGTTTGGCAGCCAGGAAGGCTGGGGTGCGGGCTGGTGGCATTTACCTGCTTGCTCCAGAGTCGGGCAGGAAATGGTTTTTAATCGCCCTGGGAGACAGCTGGCTCAGCCCCAGGGCAGTGGCTGCAGCTTTCTGTGCAGTTTTCTTTCCATCCATGTTCCCCTCCAGCCGCCCCTGGGAACAACCTCCTGAAGGCTTCGGGGAGAGGAAGGGGAGCACGCTGATTCCTGTTGGATTGGGTGAGGGTGTAGCTGGGTCCCCCGACATGTAACACAGTGCCTGAGTCCATCAGCACGTGGTCAGGATCCCAGCTCTGAAAGGGACTTTAGTTCCTTTCGTTCTCCCCCTGGTGTGATTTCTAAATCGGTTATTTAGTTGACGATACTGGCTCTCCTTTAGTCTGTGCCCCGTCAGGAACCATATCATAAGAGCTTCACGTGAGCATTCCCTAGTGGGAGGGTTCTCATTTAACCCTAACAGTAACCCCAGGTATAGATACCGTAGTTCCATTCTGTAGCCGGAGAAATGGAGGCACAGAGAGGTTAAGTGGCTTCCGCAAGGTTACACAGCCCAGGTGCGGCAGGGCCAGGATTCGAACCCATCTCTGTGACACCAGTGCCTGTACTTTGCACGGCTTGACTGAGAGTGAAGCCAGGGCTGCTTTGTGGTGACGTTTTTACTTCACCTCTTTCATTAGGATCTCTGTCCCAGTTGCTGCCTTCTCTTGCTCTAAGCACCTGGGCGACTGCCAGTCATGGATCTTGGCTCATCTGAGAAGGTGGTTGGGCACTGACCAAACCAGAGGTCCCTGTGGCTATAGACAGCATTCAGGAGGGCACAGCGATTTGCTCATACAACCTGAAATGTTTATTGCGTGCTTCCTGTGTGCCAAACACAGCCTGGGCTCACGGGGTACAGTGGCAACGGGATAGATATGGCCTGGCCCTGTGGGGCTGCCGTCCCAGTGAGGAGTGCCCACGCCCCCGGAGCAGGGTTTGTCAGCCTGGACACTGCTGCTATCAGGGGACGGATCATTCTTTGTAGTGGGGGGACCGACTGTGCGTTTCACGGTGGTGAGCAGCATCCTCGGCCTCCACCGTCCCCAGCCTCCCAAGTCACGGTAACCAAAAATGTCCCTGGAGGTGCCACCCGTCCCTCGCCAGGTTAGGGGATTCTGTGTCCCACAATCCCCTGCCCTGCTGAGGTCCTAGGAGGCTGCACACATTAAAATCCACATCTGAGTGGGGAGGGAGAGAAGAGGGGAGTCCCAGGGCCTGGGGGTCCCCTGGTCTGTACCATCTGCCCTGTCGGGAATTTATTCTAGTGTCTGGTGTGAGCCTGGGACTCGAACTCAAATTGTTCCCCAAATAATGAATGCAGGGGTCTTGGCCTTGGCACTGAAATGGGGTCACTCTCTGGGGTGGGGCCGTCCTGGGCACTGCTAGGTGCGGAGCAGTGTCCCTGCCTCTACCCGTTGTGTGCTGGAAGCACCCCCAATTGTAACAACCATAAATGTCATTAGACATTGCCCAATGTGCCCTGGGGTCAGAGTCGCCCCCAGTTGAGAAGCACTCTCCTAGCGGGAGGGTTCTCGTCTAGGTGTCGTGATGGGGGTGACTTTGGATTGGGTGCTCAGGAAAGATCTCTGAGGAGGTGACGCTGGGACCAGAAGAATAAGGGACAAGTCATACAGAAGGGGAAGGGCATCCAGGGCAGAGGGACCCGCTGGTGCAAAAGCTGGGAGGTGGGAAGGAGCCCGTGTACTTAGGGGAGAGTAAGGAGGCCACTGTGGCTGGAGGTCTCGGCCAAGGGCGAGGGAAGATGGCCATGAGGCCACCAAGGAGCAGCCACAGTGAGGAATTTAGGATGATTCTGTTTCCCCAAGTGCCCCTTGGGTGGCATCCCTGCAGTTACTGGAAACTGAGGGATTTCTTCCCTTGGATGACCTCCTGGCGAGTAAGGTGCGGGTTTCCAGCAAATGCCCCGCACCTCTCGCAGTTCAGAGTGGGGCCTGAAGCACCTGCCTCGTCAGGATGCCCATGGTTTCGGGGTGCTCCCTGGAGGCTCAAGGGGCTGCCTGGGGAAATGGGGAGGGAGCAAAGGGGATGTGAGGTGACAGCCCCCCTGCCAGGAGTTGCAGCCCTGTGGTCTCTTCTCCCCCTCCCCCGCAGGCCCCCCACCCTCCTGAGGCCGGCTGAGCGGTTAATGCGGAAAGTTAAGAAGTTGCGGCTGGACAAGGAGAACACCGGAAGTTGGAGAAGGTAAGGCAGGCCTTGGGAGCCCCGGATGGTGGGGATGGGGTGAAGGTTCCAGAATTCTCAACAGAGTTAGATCAGGGAGGCACCGTCTTCGTCTTCCCAGCATTTCTTTTCTCAGAGCTCCGGGTATTCTGCGTGAGGGCAGCACGGCTAGGGCAGGGTTTCTCAGCGCAGGGGACGTGGCGGCCCTCCGGGCTCTGCGGGTACTGAGCAGCATCCCTGGCTTCCGCCCATGCCATGCCAGAAGCTGCCCCCCAACTCTTAACAGCTACACGTGTCCCAGACACTGCTAGGTGTCTGCTGGGGGCAGACCCGCCCCCAGGTGAGAACCACTGGCCTGCCCATAGGGTGTGGGTTTCAGGGTCCAACAGACTTGGGCTCTGCTCCCCTTCCTTGCTGGGTGACATTGGGCAGGCCAGTCAACCTCTCTGAGCCCGATATTTGGTCCCCAAAACGGTGAAGATCCCAGAACTCACCTCCCAAGTCTTTAGTGTGCAATAAATGTGATTATACACGGCCTGGGGCAGCTGATAAATTCCACATCCCAGGGCCTGGCACGAGTTGAAAAGAACCTCGGAATTCCTCGACCAAGTGAACCCATCTCGTGTTGGGTTTCTCGTCTCTCAGCCTCACTTGTTTTTATGGAGCACAAGTGACAGGGGTCTGGGGAGACGAGGATGACGTCAAGTGCTGGGATTTCCCCAGACGCAGGTTCTAAACACAGGCAGTCCCGGTGCACGTGCGTTTGGGGTGGATACAGGGGCAGTCGGTCTCCTTCCTCCCATCTGCACACGCCTGGGGTCCCCGCTGGGCCCAGGCTGCGGGCCGACTCTGTGTTGAAGGTGGTTGTCAAAGCTGGAGGCCCGGGGGACGCTGCAGGAGGCACTCATGGAACCGAGGGTGGCATGCTCTTTCCCCAGCAGCCCCCACTTACAGGGACACTTGCCTCGCCTGGGCCAGCTGCCCGATGTCCATTTTGGGGGATTCCCCCCGCCCCCGAACGTGGGTAGGACCCCCGAGCCTCACCACACGCACACGTCCCCATCTGCCATCACTGCGCCCCTTGTGTCTCTGGTGGACACCAGGGCGGGCGCCGGGTCCCCACCCTCGAAGCACAGGCTGAGACAAAGATCACACACAGCTCTTCCACTCGGCCTTGACAAGTGACTGTGCCAGGAGGCCTGGGGCTGTTTGCTGGAGGCGTCGGGGTGGCCGAGGCGCCCCGCCGATTGGTGGAAGGAAGGTGTAGGTGGGCCTGAGTAAAGTGGCCTGGAATCCGCTTTCATCTCCCAGCTGTGTAAACTTGGCACTGGGTGGAAAAAGGCGGCACACGCTGGCTCCACTCACCTGCTCCGGCCCAGCCCCAGCGCAGTCCGGGCTCTGAGCACCGAGCCTGCCTAGAAGCTCAAGCTAAAGATCACAGCCACGTCTAGAAGATTCCTAGAAGTTCCTCCCAATGCTTCATTTCATCTCCCACCTCCTGGGTCGCACTTCTGCTTCCTGGGCCGTCTGTGGCGATCAGAGGCAAGGTGATTTTTGTTCTTCGCTGTGGACGTGAGCCACGTGGTCTTGCACATGCCCCGCCAGGTGCTCAGCCTGTGGGGTCCCCTTCTGGGGTGCTGGAGGTCACTTTCTGTTTTCCTGCTGTGGGCAGGGCTGGAGCTGGGGTGGCACAGCTTGGGGGTGCCGCTTGCACTGGTTGGGGGAGTTGCCCGGCTTGGTTTTTCCAGGCTGGTGGCCAGCAGCACTTGGGGCTGTGCAGGTTCTTGGTGGCTCAACCGGCGCTGGCCCCGGTGCCTGCCTAACACCTGTCAGGGCTGCCCGCTGCCCTGGAGGGAAATGGCAGGGCTCTGCACTGGGCCAGGGTGTCCTGTGTGTGGCTCACAGCAAGTCACCCCCGCTCTGGGTTTGGCTTGTTTGACCCGAGGGGCCCGCAAGCACTGGTGGCCTCTGGTCTTCAGACCGTGTCAGAAAGTGCTGAGCTAACTGCGCTCCTGCCCCTCGGGTCTTCTGCACGTCCCTGTGCTGGGGAGGCCCCTTCTCCGCTCTCCTTCCAGGGCCTTCCCACAGGACAAGGGTGTCACAGAGGACTTTGCCTGCTGTGATCGCTTGGCCCTTGGCACCACCGCCCAGCTGGGCTGGGAGCCAGGCCACCACCCCAACCCCTCGTTCTCATTCACTCGGCTCTGATTGAGAGTGAGCCCTTCTGTACCCCCCAGCCTCGGTTTCCCCATCTGTAGAATGGGCTGTCACAAGCTCAAGTGAAGTGACAGCTGCAGGGCCTGATATTTTTTAAGGTGCTTGGTCACATCCGCATGTCCCTTTCTCCCCTTCCCTCTCGAAGCGGGCCGGGGTCTTTTCTCTCACGGTGGTTGCTGTCTGGGTCTCTCATTGGCAAGGGGCAAGGTCCTCTGGGAACTGAAGGCACCAGGAGTTGAGGAGACCCCCACCCCCTGCCCTTCTCCAAAGCCAGCTCCTGCTGTCCTGGCCCTCGGTGGAGAAGTAGCTTCAGTCCCCAAGTCCTTTAAGTGAGTCCCCGCTAACGGGTGTCTGAGGCCTGGCTGGGAGCATCCGGCAAGGCCGTCAGCCCCTTGGTGCCTACAGAGGGAAGCGACCGGCTCAGTCCTCCAGGCCACTCTGGCTCTTCCAGAACTGGGTCACTGCAGCCATGTTTAGATTTCCTTAAAACAAATATTTGCCGGGCCGGTCCAGTGCGGGGTGGGGCGGGGGCCGCTCTGCAGGCGTGGGGCGGCCCGGCGGGAGGAGAGAGTGGGGCGGTGTTGGGGAATGGCGCATGTGTTCTCCCTCTCGCCTGGATTTCTGACATGCCCGGCTAATATGTGACTGTTGCCGTGGGACTTCCAGTGAGACACAAGGTGTCCCCTGCTGGACGGCAGGCCACCAAGGTCAGCCTCTTCTTCCTCACACTCATACCTTTGCCGGTGGCCGAGCGTGACCCCCACGGGGCTCAATGAGAGGCACCCACCGCTCTTCATGGAGCACCCACTGGGTGCCAGGCCCTTCGCGAGTGTCTTCAGACACTGCCACGATCGGGACAAACACGAGGGAGCAGGTGTTTTACAAGCAACCGTTGTGACAGAGTCCGCCAGGGCGAAGGGTGGCCAGGTGGCTTGTGAAAAACAGGGAGACCTGTTTTTCACAAAAACAGGTGCGCATAGGCGATCACAGAAGGTTTCTGAGGACCTGCCGGTACTTAAGCTGAGATCTGATTAGAAGTTAGTCAAGCAAAGGAAAACAGTGTTCCAGGCAGAAGGGACAGTGTGTGCAAAGGCCCGGGGGTGGAAGGTGGAGTCTGACCTGTTTGAAGAGCTGAGAGGAGGCTAGATGGGCTGCAGGGCTGCTGCGGGTCAGCCACAGCCTTAAAGGTCACGGTGAGGACGCTTTTATCCCAGGGCCGTGGAAAGCCAGGGAGGGTTTTCAGTCCCAGGATCACACTTGCAGTGGAGATGGGGAGTCCTGGTGGGAGATGGCGTCAGTCATTCGGCAGAGGGGTGACAGTGGCGCGGAGAGCATTGGAGCAACTTGGGGAGCATTCAGGGGGCCCGGGGTGCCTGACGGGGCACGGGGGCAGCTTGCAGGGAAAAGGATCTTCTCTTCTCACGGTCTCTCGCCCTCCTCACAGCTTCTCGCTGAATTCCGAGGGGGCCCAGAGGATGGCGGCCACCACCGGGGCCCCAGTGGCCGACCGGGGCGACGCGGTGGACATGGACGAGCCGGCGTCCCGCTTCCAGGTGCAGAAGCACTCCTGGGAGGGGCTGCGGAACATCATCCACGGCAGCCGCAAGTACTCGGGGCTCATCGTCAACAAGGCGCCCCACGACTTCCAGTTCGTGCAGAAGACGGACGAGTCGGGCCCCCACTCGCACCGCCTCTACTACCTAGGTGAGCCCGGCCATGCGTCCCGGGACCGCCCTCCCGGGCCCTCCGCTCTGCAGACGGCAGCGGGTCCCATGAGTGGGAAGATGCGCCTGGGGCCGCTGTCCCGAGTGCCGTGCCGCCACTGCAGGGAGGGCCGGGCAGCTGGAAGGGGAGAGGGAAAGGCTCGGGCCGTCCGTGCAGGTGAGCCGGGCACAAGACAGGCCAGCCCCTCCGCGCCACCAGGGCGCCATGGTTCAGGCTGATTCGAGTGGCTCCGAGCCTGGAAATTGTTTCCAACACCAGTCAGCTGGACCCACCCCCCTGAGTCACTTCCCAGTCACCCGGGCTGGGCCGGGTGGGGCCCATGACACACAGGAGGGGGCAGGAAGATCTCCAGTGGGAGCCACGGCACCCCCAGTAGGGCCTGGCTGTGGAGCCGTGTGTTAAGAAGGATCCTGAGGCTCAAGGAAGGCCTCCTGGGTGTCGCATGCACGTCTGCCGAGGGCCGACAGCAGAGGGGTGGCTCTGCACACGCTCACTCTCCTGCCCCAGATCCGGGGACAGTCACGCCTCCTCTGGGCGCACGGCCCGTGAGCCGCACTTTCCATGTCGTCTGCAGCTGCTCGTGCAGGACCGTGTTCCCACGGGGCCACGAGAGCCCTCAGGGCCCAGAGCAGGCCTCAGTGCTCCGCAGCCAGATGGGGCCTTCCGGGGGCAAGACAATAAATTCCTGGCGAGTGAGTGGACGCCGTCCTGCCGCACCCAAAGGCCTCACAGAGCGGGGGGAAGAGGGCCTTGTGGGAGCCGGCCAGGCCCGTGCTCTGACAGCAGCGCGACACGGGGCTGCTGGCCCAGGCGGGTGTCTGGCGCACACCGCAGGGTGCTGAGCAGTGGCCCTGCCTGCACCCACCCCATGCTGGGAGCAGCCGCGCCCCAGCTGTGGTGATCAAAGATGTCCCCAGATATTGCCAAGTGTCCCCTGGGTGGCAGAATCAACTCTACATGAGAAGAGCCACCCTGGGGGTAGGGTGGCCCAGGATTATTCTCTGGGCAGGCAGGATCTGTCCACACGGCCCCCGGGGGTGGCCTCAGCCTGAGACGTCCCTGTGTGTCAGGCCCTCGGTCAGTATTCGAGTGAATGAATGAACAGGTGTCAGCCTCTGCCTCGGGCTGGCCCCACGCTAATGACAAGGGGACTGTGATGAACACCAGATGGCTGTCCCCTTCGTAGACAGGCTTGCGTGGAAATCAGATGGTGGTTTGGCAAACGGAATTTGAGAAGAGGGCCAGCATGGAGCAGGGCTTGGCAGCGGCAGCCGCCTTCAGAAATCGAGCTCTCCTGGCCCCTTCGTTCCTGTCGTCATCGTGCTGTTGCGAGCAGTCGCTGTGACAGGGATGATAATAGCCCAAAGGCCAAAAATATTTACACTCTGGCCCTTGACAGAAAAACGTGCGCCAGCTCCAGGGGAGATTGGGATGGAAAGGCCTCAGGTTCCATTTCCCTGCGAGCAGCTTGGCTGCGAGGAAGGACGCCATCCCAGACCCAGGCTGTCGCGAGCTGTTGCCCCTCTTTCCTTTCTGTGGTTCTGTGGCCTCCCAAGCCCTTTGTGTCAATGCATTCTTAGGCCACCTGCTCGTGTCGGAGTTGCCGCTGTGGTCAGCGTGCTTGGCAGAGTTTGCCTCGGCTTTTGCTGTAACAAGTGACCACCGCTCAGTGGCTTAAAACAATAGAAGTTTATTATCTCACAGTTCTGGAGGCAGGAAGTGCGAAATCAGTTTCACCGGGCTTAAACCAAGGTGATGGTGGGGCCACACTCCCCTGGCAGATGTAGGGGAGAGCTGTCCCCTGCCTCTTCCGGCTTCTGGTGGCCACTGGCGTCCCCAGGCCTGTAGCCACGGTGCTGGGATCATGGTCACAAGGCTCCTCCTGTCTGCCTGTCTCAAATCCCCCTCTGCAATGACGTCAGGCCCACCCGGGTGACCAGGCTAATCTCGCTGGCTCAAGATCCCTAACTTAGTCCCAGCCGCCTGGTCCTGTCTGACACGCAAGGGCGCACTCCTGTGCGGGCCCCAGGGCGGGACCTGGCAGAGGCCCCGGAGTGTGCCCACAGCAGCCCAGAGGCCACGCCCTCCCTTTGGGGTGATGTTCAGCTGACCCAGTCCTCGTCACTTAATGCTAGCAGGGCAGCACCAACCTCGCTTCATGTCCAAGTTCTTGGGGCCGGCCTCCTTGTAGCCCCAGGGTATTTATAACCTGTCTTGGCGCTAGCACGATGCCCAGGGCCACTGCTGGCACTCAGCAGACTTCCAGGCAAGGCCCAGCATGTGACCTGCCCCTCTGCCCTACCCGGGACCCCTGCGTCCTTGGCAGGAACCAGGTTGGCGAGTTTGGGACACGAGGAGCCAGTCACTGGGGTGCACAGACAGGATGTAGGGCACATGCTAGCTCCTGATGCCAGCAAGAGGGACTGGCTGGTGATAGCTCAGCCAGCTTAGTTGTTCCAGGACGCAAACTGCAGCGTCAGGAAACACTCTAACTCGCTCTCCTGCCCATGTGGGTTGGCTTCTCCCCACTAATGTGGCCAGAGGCAGCCGCAGGATCCCCAATAGCTCTGAGACCCCCTCAGAGGGGAAGTCGAAAATGCGCGTCCCCATGCGTCCGTGGAGAGAGCCCAGCCCCCGCCAGGGCTGCCACGGAGGCCATAGCCCACAGTGCCTGGGAGCAGTGTTTGCCTAGGCTGGGGACACCATGGGGCGGGGTGGCTGGCAGGTTGGCAGCAGGAGTGCGTGGGTGGCAGAACTGGTGAGAGGGTCAGAGGAGGGACAGGGCAGCAGGATTCTGAGGCTGTCGTTGGCCACCTCCACCCTGTGCCTCTAATGCCAGTCGTCGCTGTCACTGGTGCCAACAGCAGCCTGGCCAAGGAATGGGCTGGCTGGGGCTGTTGGTGTGATCACTTATTAACCAGCCAGGGAGGGGAGGTGGCTACAGTGTCCTTGGCAAGGCCACACCCCTGACTTCCTGTTTGGAAGGCTCCGGCTCTCCTGGAGAGTCCCTGTGGACAGGGACTGCCCAGAGCACAGCTTGCTCCATAAAAAGCGGCTGCCTGCGCCCTCCCAGCCCTCCCTGTTGCCCCAGGAAGCTATCTTTTTTAAAAAATTTAGCCAGGTGCGCTGTGGCTCACGCCTATAATCCCAGCTACTTGGGAGGCTGAAGAGTAGGACTGCTTGAGGCCAGGAGTTCAGGACCAGCCTGGGCAGTATATCAAGACCCCTGTTCCTCCCTGTGATATATAATTCACATTCCACACTTTTTTTTGGAGATAGAGTCTCTGTTACCTGGGCTAGAGTGCTGTGGCATCAGCCTCGCTCACAGCAACCTCAAACTCCTGGGCTCAGGCAATCCTCCTGCCTTAGCCTCCCGAGTAGCTGGGGCTACAGGCATGCGCCACCATGCCCGGCTAATTTTTTCTCTATATATTTTTAGTTGTTCAGCCAATTTCTTTCTGTTTTTAGTAGAGACAGGGCCTTGCTCTTGTTCTAGCTGGTCTCGAACTCCTGAGCTCAAATAATCCACCCGCCTTGGCCTCTCAGAGTGCTAGGATTATAGGCGGGAGCCACTGCGCCCGGCCACAATTTCACACTTTTAAAACTGTGCAGTTGAGTGGTGTTTAATGGTACATTCACAGAGCTGTGCAACCCTCGCCACTGTCTTGTTCTAGAACATTCCATCATCCCAAAAAGAAACCCCATCTCCATCAGTAGTCACTCCCCATCCCCCAGTCCCTGGCAGCCACAAATCCACTTCCTGTCTCTGTGGATCTGCCTGTTCTGGACATTTCACATAAACAGTCACCCAGCATGATTCCCGTCCACACTTGTCTCGTGACCCTGGCAAGGGCAGGCCCCCCACTCCAGGCGGCCTGCATGGGTGGGCTCCTGTCTGCCCCCAGCCGGGAATGAGAGAATCGGACCTTGGCAGTTTCAAGGGTCCTTAGAGATCGAGTTGTGTTTCCAGCACTTGGGCCGTTTGCCAACCCCCTGAAGATTTTCTCTGCCCACACGTGTCTACTAATTTAACTTCGCATCTCTCCTAAATCCACTTTGAAGGGAAACCTGATCATGTAATATTTTTCTTTAAATACACTCTTCCGTTACTGAACTATGCTAGGGTGATCAGGCCAAAGCATTTATTAGGGGAATGTATGTACAGAGTGGGCCACGGTGTCCTCACGATAGACAGCAAGTGAAAAGGGGTGTCCTACCTAGGTGTGTCCCCAGCCACAGGTCAGGCTATGGAGGTTACAGGAGGGTTTAAGGAATTCAGATCAGGGTCCGAGCCAGTTTCTTTCAGGGTTTTGGGCAACAACCTAGATGCCGTTATCAGTGCCTGGGGATGTTGTAGGCCCTGGTCTGGGTTCAAGCCTGCTGGGAATAGCCTGCAGCTGGCTGGGTCACAGAAGGGTCAGGTCACTATGGGATCTCCCAGCAGGATGCAGGAGGAAAGTGGGGGTGGGGGAATCTGGGGAGGCCTATAACAGCAGCCTATCGCAGTAAATATAAATGGCATAGACGCTGTCCGTGAGGCTGTGACCCTGCGGGTGCTGAGCTCGTGGGTTGGCCTGCTGTTCTCTCTTACAAACAAGCAGGCAAGCATGGGGAGGGGCAGTCCCAACTGGAGTCTCCTTGCGGGAGGAACTCAGGGCCCCGAGCTCTCTGTGACTTGTCATTTGCCACGTCAGGCTCCCGTGTGCTGCTGGATGGCTCCACTCTTGGAGGAGCCCTGTCCTAGTCCCCCAGCCTTGTGACACGAGAGGGGAAGCCGAGGCTTCCCGGAGATAGTCATTCTGCTTCCTGCCATTCCCTTCACTAGTGGCAGTTGTCCCATCATCCGTCAGATCTGAGACACAGCCAGCTGTAAGGTACACCATTATTTTACCTGCTGCTAAGAACACGGCAGCATCCCAGAGTGGGGGAGATGAAAACAAATAAAAAACAAAATGACCACAGCGGCACCTCTGACAGCAGGACGCATCCCTACTTCAGAGACATGAGTACATGGAAAACCAAAGCTGGCTAGCGAAATGTGCTGTTAGCTCTGAATGACACGCGCATTGTGCTGAGGGCTTTGCTTTTCTTACCTCATTTAATCCATACAAAATCCTCAGTCGGCAGCTGCTGTCACTACTGTCATTTTATAGGGAGAGTTAGATTAAGTCAGTGATGCCCAGTCAGGGGTATTCCTGCGCTCCAAGGGATGTCGGGCCATGTCTGGGGACATCTGCAGTTGTCATGCCTGGGGGCTGCTCCTGGCATGGGGTGGGTGGAAGCCAGGGACGCTGCTCTACACCTGCAGTGCCAGGGCAGTCCCTCCCTAGGCATCAGTCCAGCCCCAAACGTCATTAGTAGTGACATTGAGAAACTCGGGATTAGGTGCATTTCTCAATTCCTGTATGTTGCTTTTGCTCTTATTCTAATCCTAGAGTAATTTAATTGTCCACCTTTGCAAACCCCTTTGGTACAGTAGGAACTTTGCGAGCGGAGCCCAGCCTGCCAAGGGTTGGATATTGTCGACCACCCTTTTCTCATTCCCTCGTGTGCTGCTACTTAGTCACCGCAGCCACGATATTCAGCACAGACGTCTTAGAGCTGGGAGACCCGTCGCCGACAGACTCAGACTCGGGGTCTGTGCCTTTCTGGGGAGGGGTGTGCTGCCAGCAGCCTGGCAGAATGGCCTAGAAGCAGAGGGAGTCAGCTTCGTGGCCAAGACCCTCGCCCCTTCGCAGGCAAGGTCACCCATTCCGGGTTCCCACCATCCTCCCTCCAGGAATGCCTTATGGTAGCCGAGAAAACTCCCTGCTCTACTCCGAGATTCCCAAGAAAGTCCGGAAGGAGGCTCTGCTGCTCCTGTCCTGGAAGCAGATGCTGGATCACTTCCAGGTGAGCTGCGCCCTCGGGCCGGGCCAATAATCTCACCTGAATCGGCTCTCTTGGGGAGGGGGAGATCGTGGTTGACCAGGGAGAGTGCCTTTTGCATGGGTGGAGGGGTTATTATTTGGTGTCAGAAGTGGGATGCATTGGTGTGGTTTTCTTTTAGGTTGTTGAAATAATGTAACAATGCCAGGGTGGCCGGGAGGATGGTGCTTTCTGAGTTTATCCATTGCTAGATCAATAGCTCTTAACTTTGGCCTGTCCCCGTGAGTTCCAGGCAAGGAACTCGTGTTTATGTAGCTTTCCTCACAACGCAGGGATAATTTTGCTTTTGGTTCTGATTTTTAAACAACGTGTTTCTTCGCTGTGGTGTACCTCCACGTGGCCTCAGAATTCTACTGCCTCGTGGTGTGCGCTACCTACCCGAGCCCCCTGGCAGAATGACCTGGAAGCAGACCTCGCTTCTAGGAGGTCCGGCATTTGGGTGCCCGGTGGTCCTGAATTTGGACCCCACCTCTGCAGAAAGGACACATGTTTGGTGTTGGGTGGGTTCAGATCCAATGTTCTTGGCAGAAAGGTGTTGTGAACAGGGTCGGGGGGCTGTAGGATTGGTGTTGGGGGCTGCCCCTCCAGGGCCCCCATCAGCCTTGGAGAGGCTCCAAGGAAGGGGCACAAGAAGGAGGGAGGCTTCCGGTGAGCCCTGCAATCCCGCTGCCTCCTGGCACAGCCCCTGCTCTCGTGCAGGGTCAAGGGCTCTGGCTGCCGGCGCCCGGCACGGAACATTCTCTGTCGGGGCCCCAAGTCCGCTTGTCCCCGAATGCTCCGGCTGGAGGACCTCTGCCCCTGCGGGTGGGGGATCCTGTCACCCCAGAGCTCGTAGCCTCTGCTGCTGACGCTGCCGCCCGTCCCCTGCGTGTCCCCAGGCCACGCCCCACCACGGCGTCTACTCGAGGGAGGAGGAGCTGCTGCGGGAGCGGAAGCGCCTGGGCGTCTTCGGCATCACGTCCTACGACTTCCACAGCGAGAGCGGCCTCTTCCTCTTCCAGGCCAGCAACAGCCTCTTCCACTGCCGCGACGGGGGCAAGAACGGCTTCATGGTGAGCCCCGGCCCCGGCTGCGCGTGGGGGGTCGGCTGTGGGCTCCTGCCCCTCCTGAGTCGGGCCTCTCTGTCCTCAGGTGTCCCCCATGAAACCCCTGGAAATCAAGACCCAGTGCTCCGGGCCCCGGATGGACCCCAAAATCTGCCCTGCCGACCCTGCCTTCTTCTCCTTCATCAACAACAACGACCTGTGGGTGGCCAACATCGAGACGGGCGAGGAGCGGCGGCTCACCTTCTGCCACCAAGGTGAGGCCAGGACGCCCAGACACCCGCACATGGCTGTGGTCTGTAGGGTCAGTCTGGCTTCTAGAAAGGCCCCGGCTCCCAACCCACCGGCCTCCCCCTCCAGGCATCTTCCCGCGTGCTGACCCGGCCAGAGGCAGCAGCCCAGTCGGGGGGGGGGTGTGTGTGTGTCTCACTGTGCATTGCCACTCTTTCTGCCCCTCCTACCTCCACCCTGTGTGTCCGCCCCCAGCCCGATCCCACCTGCCTGCTGGGTTTCCCTCCCCTGCTTGCTAGAGGTGACCTCATCATTCCTGGGGTGTCTGCAGAGCTCTCTGTTTAATGGCATCAAATTGTCGGTCCCTGTCTCCCCTGTCCCATGGCCCCAGCCCCCCCTTTCTTCCTAAATCTATGCTCGTGGCAGCGTCCAGAGACGTTGTGAAAGTGGGCAGACCTGGTGGGGGCCTGCTCCTGGCCTGGAGTGGGTGGGGGCAGGGACATACTCAGTGCCCCGCAGCGCCCAGGATGGCCCCACTGCAGAGAAGGGGCCACCCTGACATCCGTGGTGTGCAGTTGGGGGGCCCTGCTTTGAACCAGGCGGCTCTGAGTCCCTTGGTTTCCTGTGCATGCGCCCAGGGCATCCCCAGCTGCACCCCGTTGCTAGAAGGCTGTTCTCCCTCCCCAACTCTAGGGCTATCCAACGTCCTGGAGGACCCCAAGTCTGCGGGCGTGGCCACCTTTGTCATTCAGGAAGAGTTTGACCGCTTCACCGGGTACTGGTGGTGCCCCACAGCCTCCTGGGAAGGTAGGTCCCTTTCCCTCTTACAGAAATGCTCCTACTCACGCTTTCTGTTACACCAGAATCACAGTGTTTCTACTTCTCTGCGCTTTGCTCCTTTCCCTTAAATCATCTTCACGATCTTTCCATACCAGCCCAGAAAGCTCTTTGGCGACTGTGGCCACCCCTGTTGCACGAGGGTGGGGAGGACGCAGTTCAGCCCCTTCACCCCATGTGGCCCCTCCTGTGCCCTCTCACGCTGCGGGAGGGAGCGGGCGGGGCAGGGGGGAGGGAGCGGGCGGGGGCGTCCTCCGCAGCTTGCCCTGCCCCCACGCAGGTTCCGAGGGTGTGACCACACTGCGGATGCTGTACGAGGAGGTGGACGAGTCCGAGGTCGAGGTCATCCACGTGCCCTCTCCTGCACTGGAGGAAAGGAAGACCGACTCGTACCGGTACCCCCGGACAGGTGAGCACCTGGGACAGGGCAGCGGGCTCGGCCAGAGGCCCAAGGCCACCCGGGCTGTTCGCCAGGCACCTGTGGGATCTCAGGAGGGGATTTCTGCCCTTTGCGGGTCACTTCCCACTCCTGGCTTACCTAGGCCCCACCACCCTTTAGCTCAGAGGTCAGCAGACTGTCTCTGCGAAGGGCCAGAGAGCAGAAATTTCAGGCTTGGTGGCTGAGACAGTCCCTTCCAACTGTTGGACCCTGCTACTGTGTCACGAAAGAAGGAGGTACAGGGCCGTCCTGCGTGGCCAGTGGAACTTCACTGAAGCTTGAGTTGCAATAATTCAAACTCGAATTGGCCAGGCTCGGTGGCTCATGCCTGTAATCCCAGCACTCTGGGAGGCCAAGGTGCAAGGATGGCTTAAGGCCAAGAATTCAAGACCAGCCTGAGCAAGAGCAAGACCCCGTCTCTACTAAAAAAAAAAATAGAAAAATTAGCCGGGTGCGGTGCTCCTGTAGTACCAGCTACTCGGGAGCAGCTGGAGCCGCAGTGAGCTGTGATGATGCCACTGCACTCCAGCCCGGGCCACAGAGCAGAGTCTGTCTTTAAAAAGCAAACAAGCAAACAGAAAACCACAGCCTTGCATATGATTTTCAAATTAGACAAAATATCACTGTTGTTTTGATTTTCTTTTTAACCACTTGAAAACGTAAGATGGCTTTTTAGCTGCACGGAAGCGGCAGGCCGGCTGAGTTTGCCCCACAGGCCGTGGTTTATCAACCCCTGGTACAGCCAGACGGGACACGGGGTTTGGCTTTCCGCGCTCTGTCTCATCCTCCCCTTCTGCCCTGGTGTTGTCAGTGACTTTCTCAACCCTCTGTGACACCTGCGTTTCTGTCGCACCAACTCAGCTCCCTCACAGAGCAAAACCAGGCCTCAGCGTGACAGGGCCTGGGAGCCGCTCTGTCCCTTGGGCTGACCCCCCTCTCCCTGACAGCACAGACTCGAGCGTGCCGAGTTCTGGAAGAGGTGCCGGACTCATATGAGAAATCAGTGTCTCCCAGGTTATTTTAATACCCTCTGAGTCGAGCAGAGCGCACGTGCGGGCCAGACGCCACGCCGGGCCACCCGCGTGCACCCCATGGAGGGGCGACAGAGTCATCGCTGCGACGCTTGCCGAGCGTCTGCTCCGGGCTGTGCTGGGCGCAGCTTCCCATGTGATGCGTCCAGTCCCTGCCGCCTGTGGGCTACGTCGCTCTTCCCCCCATAGTTTCACAGATGAGGAAACTGAGGCTCAGGGATGTCACTTGCCCAGGGGGCCAAAGTTGAGATATGTCTTAAGTCTGCCTGAACAAATAAGCTTTCCCTACTCTGCCGTGACCCGCACCCCCTGCTGGAGCCTGAGGCCTCGTGGAGCAGGGCTGGCCTGTGGCCACCTGTCTCCCAAGGGCTTAGGCCCAGCCGTCCGGCACAAGCCCTCGTTTTGCACAGGACATGCACCACTGTGACGCACCCCGTCCTTGCAACCATCTCTCAAGTTTTCTGCGGGCAGGGAAGGTGTCCTCTTGGTGACTGTGTCCCCCACAGCTCTAACTCCCAGCACAGGGTCTGGCCTGTGTCCTTACGTGATACAGTCAGGTGGCATGTCACTGTCAGGTTCGTGGTCTAGACCCAACATCAGAAAATCCCCACCTGGAGGGCTTGGAGCCTGTACCAGGGAGGGTGACACGCCAGCACAGAGACCCTGGGACACCTGCCGTCTCCCGCCCTTCGCCCCACTGGCTGTGCCTCCTCTCTGCAGACGTCACCCCACAGTCCCAGACCCACACCCAGCTCTCGGCACCCACAGGCACACCTGCCGACTCAGCTCAGTTCCGTCTTTGCAGGCAGCAAGAATCCCAGGATCGCGCTGAAACTGGCCGAGTTCCAGACTGACAGTCAGGGCAAGGTAAGGGGGCCTGGTGTGTCCTACAGAAGCTTCCAGATGAAGGAGAGAGGAGCCAGGGAGGCAATTGGATGGGACCAGCAGGCCACCCTCCCCGCTCCTGGCAGGTGCTCCCGGGCACCAGATGCTGGCCCAACCCTGCTGCCCTCTGTCTGCCCGGCCGTGGGCCATGCCTTCGTCTCTGAGCTTCTAAAACAGAACTCAGTGGGACCCCAACCTCAGCGAGCCTGTTCCCCTGCCCCAGCATTTTGGGCAAGTCCTCATGGGTCACTGCAGTAGATCCATCGACTGTCATGGGATGGGCAGTGTTCTGGATCCTTCTTTGTGTCGCCTCATCAGCATCGAGTCAAGGGGCCCTCGTCACCCGGGGAGTGAGTCTCATGCTGCACAGGGCCTCGCAGCCCCCAGCAGCACAGACGTCGTCGCTGCAAAGTGAAGCGGCCACTAGCGAATGGCCCCTGTGACTGCCCGTCCGCCGCCAGCCCTGCACATCCCTTCTGTCTGTCACGTTCCTGCCCCCGCCCCCCCCGGGCCTTTGGTAGCCACGGGCCGATCGGGCCTCTTGAGAAATCGCAAATTCCACAAGACACGGGGCGCTGTGAAGTTAGCCAGCCTCTCGTTAGAGAACCGCTCAGAGACAGAGCCCTGTGCGCAGAGGCTGGGACGGAGAAGAGTGGCGGACCGTGGGGATGCCAGGCGTCCTGGGAAACCCCCCACTCAGGGGGTAAGAGTTTTGGACAAGCCAGGGAGGCCCTCGCCTGCTTTTGCAAAAATGACATCTTGTGTGGTGTTTTATGGGGGTGTATAAGATGAAATGCCTCTGTTCTCATCATTTTGGGGTCTAGGTTTTATTTTTGGCAAGATCAGGCCCTCACCAAACCTCTTTTACACTCGTGACTGGAACATTCTGGCAAATTTTAGGGGGATCTGCCCTCAATGGCCTTGTTGGCGGTCTGCGTGACGCCCGCGAGTCCCGCCAGGCTGTTTTAAACGGCTCCTCACCCTCAAGGACGCGCAGGGTTCTGAGGCAGCCCCGTGCTCGCGACCTGCTCGAGTGGTAGAGCCGGGTGCCCGGCTCCCCTTCTCCCTGCTGTCCCGGCAGGTGCGAGGAAGCCAGGACATCCAGAGGCCGGGCTTGCCCAAGGCCACCTGGCTCGCAGGGCCAGTGCAGCCAGCACCTTTGGTGTCTTGAGGCAGCTGGGGTGCTGCAATTGGCTCATGGGCCCACTTGCCCTCATAGGGTGACTAGAGGAATCTGCCCGGAGGCTAAACGTCCAAGGTCACAGAGTTGGCAGGTAGCTCCTTCCGGGTCCTTGCCTCAGCTTGCAGGTGGCCGCCCACTCCCTGCGTCTCTTCACGAAACGGTCTCCCTGGGCCTGTCTGTGTCCACGTGTCCGCCTCTCATAAGGACACCTGTCGTAGAGCCTGCCCTCTGGCCCAGTGCAGCCCGGCTTACCGGATTCCATCTACTGTGACCCTGTTCCCTGTTTCCATAGAAGCTCACTTGCTGAGGTCCTGGGGGTTAGGACTGCAGTGTTGGGATTGAGGGAGGGGCAGGATCCAACCTCCATGGCAGCCAGAGTGTCACCCACGTCTGTCTCCCTCCAGATCGTGTCCAGCCAGGAGAAAGAGCTGGTGCAGCCCTTCAGCGTGCTGTTCCCGACGGTGGAGTACGTCGCCAGGGCTGGCTGGACGCGAGACGGCAAGTAGTGAGTGTCTGCGTCTGGTGCCACCCGAGGAGTTCACACTCGGGGCCCGGGGACCCTGGGTGGGCCACAAGAGCCGCCTCCCGCCCTCCTCACCAGTCTGTCTGCTCAGGTGTCCCGCGGTGTCACGAACAGGGCAGGTCTCGGCCCCCCAGCATGGCTCTGTTCCCTGCCTCCCCTGGTCTGCAGAGATTCTCCTGACCTCAGCCAGTCGGGACACCAGGCTGGATCTCTAAGTCCCGTGGTTGGTACCACCAGACATGGTGGCCAAGTTTCCCAAACTGGGGCTCAGACCCGAGAGGGGGTTTCAGGTGGCCCCAGGCAGTAAGAAACCCTGAGTCACAAAGCCCAGGTGCTCCCTTGTGCTTGTTTTCCAGCACGCCAGCCCGCGTCAAGGTGGAACATCTCTTTAACGCCTTCTAAACCGGGGGCCCCAAACCCCGGCCGCCAGGTCCGGCCCCCCGCCTGGCTGTACGGCCCGTGGGCACGGACGGACTCTCACACTTTTAAAAGATGGGGGAGGAGAAAATTGGAAGAAGATGATGTTCTCACACATGAGAACACTACGAGAGTCACACTTCAGTGTCCATAAATAAAAGTTCTATGTGCACACGGCCACCGTCATTCACCTGCTGGCTGCAGTGGCGGCTGTGTCACTGTAACAGCAGAGTCAAGAAGCTGTGTGGCCCACAAAGCTGAAATATTTGCTGTGCGGCCCTGTTGTAGGGAAACAGTGTGCGTCCCTCTGCTGTTTCTCTTCTGCTTATGGTATTCATGTGTCTCCTTTTAAAATAAATTTAAGGGCCAGGCGAGGTGGCTCACGCCTGTAATCCCAGCACTCTGGGAGGCCGAGGTGGGCGGATTGCTTAGGAGTTCGAAACCAGCCTGAGCAAGAGCGAGACCCCGTCTCTACTATAGATAGAAAGAAATTAATTGGCCAACTAAAAATATATACAAAAAATTAGCCGGGCACAGTGGCGCATGCCTGTAGTCCCAGCTACTCGGGAGGCTGAGGCAGGAGGATCGTCTGAGCCCAGGAGATTGAGGTTGCTGTGAGCCAGGCTGACACCACGGCACTCACTCCAGCCTGGGCAATAAAGCGAGACTCTGTCTCAAAAAAATTAATTAATTAAATAAAATAAATTTAAGTTAGGCTGGGTATGGTGGCACCTGAAATCCAGCCGTTTGGGAGGCTGAGGCAGGAGGATCACTTGAGGCCAGGAGTTCGAGACCAGCCTGGGCAATATAGCAAGACCCCATCTCTACAAAAAATGAGAAAATTAGCCAGGTGCGGTGGTGAGCACCTATAGTCACAGCTACTGGGGAGGCTGAGGCAGGAGGATTGCTTGAGCCCAGGAGTTGGAGGCTGCAGTGAGCTACAACCTCGTCACTGCACTCCAGCCGAGGTGGCAGAGGGAGATTCTGTCTCAAAAAATTAATTATATTAATGTAAGTTAAAAGATTGTCCGTGTAGAGGGAAAGGGGAAATAAAGGACAGCACCAAACTTGGAGAGGTGGACTCTGTGTCCCCTGCCCACCTCTGACGGCCACTGAGGCTCCTGGCTTCCTTCCGTCTCTTCGCAGTGCCTGGGCCATGTTCCTGGACCGGCCGCAGCAGCGGCTCCAGCTGGTCCTCCTTCCCCCGGCCCTGTTCATCCCGGCCACCGAGAACGAGGAGCAGCGGCTGGCCTTCGCCAAAGCCGTCCCCAAGAACGTCCAGCCGTACGTGGTGTACGAAGAGGTCACCAACGTCTGGATCAACGTAAGCCTCATGCCCCATCTGAGCCCCTGGGGTCAGGCCGTCCCCACCCCCAGGGCCCCAGCGGGGCAGAAGGCCAGTGACGGGTGGGGTTTGCCCCCGCGAGGGGAAGTTCTTGGCTGTCCCCCGGCCGGGCAGGGGGAGAGTCCAGGGGGCTGGTAGCCTGGCCGGCTGCAGAGCCGCATCTCCCCACCGCTGACACATCTTCTCCCTGCCGCCCGCACAGGTCCACGACATCTTCTACCCCTTCCCGCAGTCAGAGGGGGACGAGGAGCTCTGCTTCCTCCGCGCCAACGAGTGCAAGACCGGCTTCTGCCACTTGTACAAAGTCACTGCCGTTTTAAAACCCAAGGGCTACGACTGGAGCGAGCCCTTCGCCCCCGGGGAAGGTGAGCAGAGCGTGATGAGTGCCACTGACTCGTGGCATGCTGAGTGGCATCTGTGGCTCCGTGTGCCGCATGTTCTCGGATGGGCCCTGCTGATGAGCTTGGCCCCGGGGGTGCGGGGGGGAGGGGACGCAGGGAGGAGTAAGAGGCCAGCCTTCCCTGAGGAGTGTTTGTGACCTGGCAGGGGTGAAGGTAGCTACGTGCTCGAGTATGCAGTCAGCAGTATTTATTGAGCACCTACTACGTGCTAGGCCCTTAGTACCACCAGGAGTCAGCAAACTATGGTCCACAGGTCAAGTCCGGCCCGCCACCTGTTTTCATGAGTAAAGTTTTATTGGCACACAGCCATACCCACTGGTTCGCAGATGGTGGCTGCTTTCGGACCACAGAGTTGAGGAGTCCCAGCAGAAACTGTCTCAAAAAGCCATTGAGAGAAAGTATTTGCTCCTGGTCCTTTGTAGAAAAAGTTGCCAATCCCACTCCAGGTGCTAAGGCTATAATTGTAAAAAAAAAAAAAAAAGAAAGAAACATCCTCGCTAGTGTGGAACATTCCAGTGGAGGAGACAGACAGTAACCCCAAAATAATTAAAGATGCCGTCTAAGGTGCGTGGCAAAGGGACACGGGCAAGGGTGGTAGGTAGGGGGACAGGGAAGGGAGTGAGGAGCCTTCTCTGGGTAACATGCATGGAGCCAGGGTCTGGAGGAGGTGATGGGGCCACACGGCACACTCTAGGCAGAGGACACAGCCCATGCAAAGGCCCTGGGGCAGGACCGGGCCTGGTGTGTTGGAGGCACAAAGAGGAGGCCCGTGTGGCTGGAACAGAGTGAGGAGGGGAGGGGAGAGAAGGGATGGGGCAGGTCATGCAGGGCCTGTAGAGCTGCAGGGAGGACTTGGGCTATGAGGGAAACAGGAAGTCGTTGCTCTGACATTGGTTTAAGGTGATCTTTCTGCTTGCTGCGTGGGCACAGGCTGAGGGGCAGGACTGGGGCGGTGGCAGTGGCTGAGCCGTGTCCACAGGATCTTGGATATGCTCTGACAGCCAAGTGGATGCAGTTTGCCAGAGGCCAGTGTGGGACAGGCTCGGGCCATTTTAGGAGAGAGGAGCCCACAGTCGGGCTGGGCGTGTTCAGGGTGAAGTGCCCGCCAGCGGCAGTGCTGTGCAGGCCGGTCCTGTGCGTGGTGTTCAGGAGAACTGGATGGATTCACAGCGGGAACGTGGGTGGCCCTGCCCATGGATGGCGTCTCAGCCTTAGGACAGGACGGAGCTCTAGAGGGACCGTCCAGGCAGAGTGGCCGTGTGGCCAGAGAGCCCAGTTGGGGCTCTTGTGGTTTGGACCAGGGCCTCCCCTGGGAACTGAGAACTTTGGCCTGCATCATTATCTGGGGCGGGCCGTCCTGGGCACTGCAGGTGCTGAGCAGCGTCCCTGCCTCCACCACCCCATGTAGGAGCAGCCCCCACCGTGACAACCACACATGTCCCCAGACGTTGCTCAGTGTGCCCGGAGGGCAGGACTGCCCCAAGTGAGCCAACAGTGTAGAGATAGAGCCCACAGACCAGACCGAGGCCATCGCCAGGCTGCTGAGTCAGGCACGGGCGAGGGGTGACGGTCCTCCCGCAGGTCGGACTGGCTGAGCCATCTCAGAAGGAAGGGACATTGCTTTGTTGGTCAGAGCTTTGCCTCTAGTCTGTCTGGTTTAGCCACCACCCCCAACATTCAGAGTCCTCGTTTCTGCCTCCCCTGGAAAGTGGGGAGTTGTGCTCGAGTTGCTAATGCCAGGCGGTCACAGGGTGGGGCTGGCGGCAGCTGCCACTAAGCCGGGGACACCGACCTTCCAGGGTGCCGCAGTGCCCCTCGGGGGACCTCCCAGCCTTTGAGGTGGGTGCCCGGGTTCCCCAGTACCCTGCTCCGGGGCTGTGTCTGTGCCACGCATGTCCCTGACGGGGAGCGCAGAGTGGGGACGGGACCGAAGTGATGCTGGGTCCCAAGGAAACAGTGGGGACGCGGGCTGGAGCCCCTGTGGCCGGACTCGGGTTCCCGCCAGCCTTGTGGCAGCCAGACTCGGCCGCACCACTGCTCCAGGAGAAGCTTCCATCGCTGTTCCTGGGCCGTCGTCCCACCCCAGGGAGTCGTTCGCGACAGTGTGCTCTAGGCACGGAAGGTTAAGGAGGAAGAATGAGCCTTCGCACGCAGGCTGGTCTCAAGTGGATTCTCATACGTGTCGACACCCGTCCTGTGCGCTGGTCCCAGTCACCTGGTGAAAACCCTCACTTGAGGTCTCTCTCCACCCCCCAAAACTGTGGAAAACCTGGGAAATGCTGGACCTGCCGTCCTCATGGCGCAAATCGGCCCCACAACCACGTCCCGCGGCTCGGGCCCAGCCAGCCACCCCTCCCATCCCCCCGTGGCCTGAGTTGGCATCCGAGCTTGCCACAAACCTGGGTTGTGGCGGCTCCGTGGCAAGTCCTCTTGCGTGGTGTTTGGCCTGCGGGTTCCGTGTCACTCCCCGCGTTCCTTCACCTCTCGTCCTCTCCTCGCTTCCAGATGAATTTAAGTGCCCCATCGCGGAGGAGATCGCCCTGACCAGCGGCGAATGGGAGGTTTTGGCAAGGCACGGCTCCAAGGTACCAGTCTGCTTGCTGCCCCTCTGCCGCACGCACGTGTGTCCCACGCACGTGTGTCGCACACGTGTGTCGCACACACGGGACACGCACAGGTGCACCCCAGCCCACACCAGGCCTGCATGCCTGTGGCTTCTCTCTTCCCTCCCGCTGCTCCCACCACACCGCCCCCGGGGCTGGGTTCCAGCCAGGCGCAGGTGAGGAAGCAGGGCCTGTCCCCGGCTCCCTCGCTTCTGTCCTGTTCTCTGCCCAGCAGGCCCCGGCGGGGAGGGCCTCGCGGCTCCCCGCGCCACCTGGGCTGTTCCGTTAGCTTCCCTGCGCTCCAGGAAACCACGCTCCCCAGGAGCGCATGGCGGGGTCGTCCCTCCCTACCGTAGAGTTGACAGGCCGCCTCTGGCCACAGCCCACCCCGGGCAGCCCCAGGAGGTTCCCAAACAAGTACAGCTGCAGAGATGACAGCATCTCCTCACCTGCCCCAGATGCGGCGTCACAAAAGCATGGCGAGGCCTGACCTCAGCCCAGAGTTATAGTCTGGGGGTCTGGCCAGAGAAGGGGAGCGGAGCACCCCAGCGCAGCACAGAGGGGCAGCATGGCTCAGCCTTCCTGGGGGGCAGAGATGGGCTCTGTGACATCGTTAGTATGCACCTCATGTGACCAGGCAGACGGGACGTGGACCCCACAAGGTCCCAGAGCCTTGGGAGATGTTTGCACAGAACTATGCATTCACACGGTGAGAACGGCTGTCAGTAAACACCCGAGCCGGCGAGCGGGGGTGCCGTGGCCTGGGCTGGGCTGTGTAGACAGCCGACAGCCGCGGGGGTCCCGGTACAACCAGTCCCGTCCAAACTTCCCACCACAGACGTGGAATGGCATCCCAAATTTCCAGGAAGGAAGCAAGTTATACAATGAGAGCGCAGCCCCTTTCTGTATAATCTCACGTCCACACCGCTACGAGTGAGTGGAGGGGAGAAGGTTGTCCCCAAAAGGTGATGCAGCAGTTGGTGGTCACCTGGTCCCCTCTGCTCTGCTGGGCCACAGTCGCCCCATCTCACAGCCCGGCTCGGGCCTGGCTGGCTGGGCACTAAGACTCACTCTACTCACCTGTGAAATGGGGGTGTTAGATAGCTCCAAACCTTTCGTCGTTACAGCGCAGTCTCACACACACACTCACTCACACAGACACCCATAGGGACCCTGCTTTAAAGTACTGTAATTTTGGGAGGTGGGTTTTTTTTTATTTTATTTTATACATTTGTTTTTGAGACAGGGTCTCACTCTGTCACTCAGGCTGGAGCGCAGTGGCATTATCACAGCTCACTGCAGCCTCCAACTCCTAGGCTCAAGTGAGCCCCCCCTCTTTGGCCTCCCAGAGTGCCGGGACCACCGCGCCTGGCCCCAAAGTACTGTAACTTGAAGACCTCAACGTGGCGTCTGCGCCCCTGTCCCCCACGAGCCGGTGTCATCACCTCCCTGTGTCGGTTTGAGTGTGGCCACAGAGAATTGTGCTGGAACGATGGACCAATCCCGTCTGGGCATTGAACTTGCTGCCAGTTTTTCAGTCTTAAAAACACGTCTTGCGTCCCCGTGTCCGGATTGCGGGGGCCTCGCGGGCGATTCCTCGAGAACGCCATTCCTGGGTCAGAGGATGTGCCCTTCGGAGGTGTTTGGCCCCCAAGCTGCCAGGGTGGCCCAGACAGGCGGCAGCGGGTCACATCCCCGCAGCAGCGTGTGGGCCCCACCTGCAAGTCTGCCCCACTGTCCCCCATGCATGAGGCCGTTTGTCTCAGTGTCTTCACTTCTCTTGAGGTCCCTGTCCCCACCCCAGGCTCCAGCCACCTCTGCTGGCCTCTGCAGGCTGGTTCCGTTTTCTTTTCTGCAATCGGTCACAGTGGGCTCTCTCCTCGGCGGCAGCGCTTGCTCCCGAGACTGTGGGGGTGCAGGCACTTGCTGGAGAAGCCGCAGCCGCCTCTAGGCAGGAGCAGCTCGAGCCTCCTTCCTGCCGTTCCTGGGCTTTCACCTGAGAGCCACCCTGGGAACGTTCCCCCAGGAGATGGGCGGGTGGGCCTCTGAGCACCTGGGTGGGGGAAGGGGGCTGAGCAGACCGGGGACAGGGGCCTTCCCTCAGCCTCTGTCCCGGCTCAGGGCCTGGAACCAGCCATGTGGGGTCGGGATACCAGAGAACTGCCTGCAGCCAGCCAGCCAGATCAGAGGTGCCCTGGCCCGCGGGTCGGATAAGCGCATCTCCCAGAGGCGGTTCCTTCCCAGCTGGGGGGCGATCCGCTCTCCTGTCCACAGAGCGCCAGGCCCATCCTACGGGCCAGGGCGAGGGGCCTGGGATAGGGAGGCGTGGGAAGTCCAGGGCGTGTGTGTCACAGGAGCCCCCGTCTCCTACAGATCTGGGTCAACGAGGAGACCAAGCTGGTGTACTTCCAAGGCACAAAGGACACGCCGCTGGAGCACCACCTCTACGTGGTCAGCTACGAGTCTGCCGGGGAGATCGTGCGCCTCACCACGCCCGGCTTCTCCCACAGCTGCTCCATGAGCCAGGTGGGCTGCTCCCCCGCCCCAAGGTGCCCCCCACCTCCCTGGTAAGGGAGGAAGAGGATGGTGCACCCCCCACACACACAGTAGAGACTGATGGAGCCCTGGGGCCTGCGCACCTAGCTGGGGCTGCCTCTCCACGTCCCTTAGTCCCTCGGAATATCCTAGAACCTCAGGCACTAGGTGTGCAGAGGGGCCCCCAAGTCCGGGGCAAGAGTCAGTAGCAGTTTGTGGGCTGCAAAACCAGCAAGATGGGCAGGCCCATGGGCCGCTGGACAGGGGACAGGTTTCTCCTGGCCTCAGTTTCCTTTGGTGGGTGGCGCTCTGAGGTTTCAGTAATGGAGTAGGGAGTGGGTGTGGCACACAGTCAAAGGCCAGAACTTGGTGACAGAGGCCCAGGCGGGAGGGTTAGCAGCATCCCGAGGTGCTCAGCAGCCCCTTGTCCCGCCCGCAGAACTTCGACATGTTCATCAGCCACTACAGCAGCGTGAGCACGCCGCCCTGCGTGCACGTCTACAAGCTGAGCGGCCCCGACGATGACCCCCTGCATAAGCAGCCACGGTTCTGGGCCAGCATGATGGAGGCCGCCAGTGAGTACCCGGCCCTGTCCCCTCGGGAGCCTCAGCCGGTCCCCACCCCCCAGTCCCGGACACCCAGGCCCTTCCCAGGAGCCCAGGAACTCGACGGGACACACCCAGTGGTCCCACCACCGTCTGAGGCCCATCTGTCACAGTCTCGAGTCTGAGCTGCACTAGGGCACTGTCCCTTGCAGGGAACCTGGCAGGGCTTCAGCTCTGGGCCAACTATGTGCCCGCCTGTCACGAGTGGGACACAGACCCTGTTCTTGGGGAGCTCTGGGCTGGCAGGAAGGTGGAGAGTGACACTTCGAACGAGGGCAGTCAGTGCAGATGGACACCAGTGTCTGCCTGAGCCCACTCAGAGCCCACCCTGGTGCTCGGGCTTTTTGCTTCACCTTCGTCCCTGCCCCTGGCATCCTGGCTGGGGCAGCGCCCAGAGGGCCCCTACAGGCGACCGTGCGCAGAGCGGCCGGCCATGTCGGAGCCTGCGCAGAGCAGACATCCCAAAGCCTCTGTCTGGGAAAGAAGCCGGGGTTGGTCATGAGAGGGCTCCTTTGACACAAGAGGCCTCCGGACACCACAAGAGCCTAGGGTCAGCCGGGACACTGCACGGGTGGTCCTGGGTTCCAGTTCTGGCTCCAGCACACACAGGATGCGCGACCTTAGGCGTCAGTTTATCACTCTTCAGTGTTTCCTTCTCTGGGCTGGGCACGATGGCTCATGCCTGTAATCCCAGCACTTTGGGAGGCTGAGGTTGAGGATCGCTTGAGGCCAGGAGTTTGAGACCAGCCTGGGCAACATAGTAAGACTCTGTCTTTACCTAAAAAATTTTTAAATTAGCTGAGCGTGGTGCACACCTGTAGTCCCAGCTACTCAGAAGGCTGAGGCAGGAGGATTGCTTGACGTCAGGAGTTGGAGGCTGCAGTGAGCTGTGATTGGGCCACTGTACTCTAGCCTGGGTGACCGAGCCTAAGACCCTGTCTCTCAAAAAGAAGAGCAAAGTTGTTTTTTTCATCAGTGAAATGATATGAACAAGCATGTAGAATGAAAAACTATGGCCAACATACTGCCTGGTGCCCCAAAATCACTCCATAAAAAGGACAACCTACCCTAGTTCTGACTTTACTCTATTGGTATGTTTCTAGAACATTCTAGAAAATAGTCCCTGGCACATACGGGCTGTTTTGTGGGCTGGAGAGCATTTTATGATACCCTCACCACCTGGAGCAGAAATGGATCCTGGGCCCCTCTCCACTGGCGCTCTCCTCGACTCCCCTGTCAGCCCTGAGACAGGCCAGTGCCTGGCCCTGGTGTTACAGATGGGGAAACTGAGGCTGGGAATGGGGGCAGGGATTGGCACTTGGGCACCCTGGGTTTCAGCAAACTCCTAATCCGTGCCGCGTTTGAAGACCACCTGTGTCAGGAGTCAGCACACTGTGGCCAGATCCGTCCACACAGTCATTTACGTGGCGTATGGCCATAGTAGCAGACGACACCCGTCGGCCCCGCCAAGCCGAAGATGCCTGCTCTCTGGCCTTCAGAGTAGTCTGCTCCCGACCGCAGACCTCATTGCCCTTTACTGGTCTTCCTGTAAACTGACTCACCTGCATTTACCTAAGGAAACTAAGGAAAAATCCATGAGAAGTCGACTTCAGATTAGCTCTTGGTCAAATTCCAGAGGCGTCAGCACCTCCATGGGGGCCTGCGGGTATCAGGGCTGCTGAGGACAGTCCTTGGTCCTGGGGTGCGAGGAGGATGGCAGGAGAGAGTGGTGGGGAATCGCCTTCTGGCCTGGGGAACCGCTGTCTGAGCTTCCATACCGTCCACCCGCAGCGGCATCCCGCACGGCAGGGCTCTGCCTCTGCACCCCGGGAAGTGCCGGACGGTGGGTGCTGGGGTCTGCCCGCCAGGCCTGGGGCAAGGCCGCAGAGCGAGGGGTCAGGTGGACGTGGTTTGGCCGGACGTGGCTGCCCTGGCCGCCCGGCGCCCTCGGCCCCACAGCACAGCCGCTCGTCTCCCGCAGGCTGCCCCCCGGACTACGTGCCCCCGGAAATCTTCCACTTCCACACGCGCGCGGACGTGCGGCTCTACGGCATGATCTACAAGCCGCACGCCGTGCAGCCGGGCAAGAAGCACCCCACCGTCCTCTTTGTGTACGGAGGCCCGCAGGTGGGTGCCTGGTGGGGGAGGGTCAGCGGGAGGCGACGGCCACGTTCCCAGCGCCCCGCTCCCCGCCGCTCTGTCCTGAGCACGCTCGTTCTGCTCTGCGTCTGTCCCCCCAGCCCTGGCTCCCTCCCGGATGGCCTCCCTTCCCCCTCCGCCTGCCTGGTCTCCCTTGTCCTCTGGGAAGCCCCCTGTCACCAGCTTAGAACAGAGGAGGCCTTGGGCCCACTGCCCTGAGCAGGGCCGGGACCAGGCAGGTGGATCCATTGATTGTGGGGCGTCTCACCCAGGGCAGCTCTGCCCCCCCTTCAGGGAGCACTGGGCATCATCTGGGGACATTGGTGGTTGTCACAGCTGAGAAAGGGGAGCTCCTGGCATGGGGCAGGAGACAGGGACACCGCACAGCACCCTGCAGCACCCAGGACGGCCCCTCCCCACAGAGCCACCTGCCCCTCATATCAGTGGAGTCAAAGTGGCTTCCCAGGGAGGGCCAGGGCACTTCCGACCCTGTCACTCTCCGAGTGTCCCCAGAGCCTCAAGACAAAGCATAGGCACGTTCATTGAGCTCTAAGGCCCTGTCCTGTCCCTGTCCCGCTGGGTCCCTGGCTGGACTTGTCCCTTGGGCCCAGAGCACCACGTCCTCCGTCGCCCGCAGGTGCAGCTGGTGAATAACTCCTTCAAGGGCATCAAGTACTTGCGGCTCAACACGCTGGCGTCGCTGGGCTACGCCGTGGTCGTGATCGACGGCAGGGGCTCATGTCAGCGGGGGCTGCGCTTCGAGGGGGCCCTAAAGAACCAGATGGTAACTTTCCTTCAGTCTCGAGGGCCCAGCTCCTGTGGGGCGCGGGCAGTGCCGGCCGGGGTGGCCTGGGCACAGTGAGGTGGCCTTTTGGACTCAAGGGGGCATCTGCTCTGCTGCTCAGCTCCGAGCTGTGCCCTGTGGAGACACGGGGACACACGCGTGCAATCCGGTGCCTGAGCTCTCGGCACGGCCCTGTCCACGGGAAGTCCCGAGGGCTGGGCTGGTGGCTATAGAAGCGGTGTCATTAATAGCAGTGGTGGCGATGGCTGCCGTGTTAGTCCGGTTGTGCTGCTGCAACAAACGCCCAGGCTGGCGGCCTATGAGGGATATACGTTTATTTCTCGGGGTTCGGGCGGGCAGGGAGTCCGAGAGCAAGGTGCCAACGGGGCTGGTGTCTGGCGGGGTGGCTCTCTGCTTCCAAGACAAAGGCCTCGTGGCGACCTTGGCTGGAGCTGCGGACAGGACGCAGACGCCCAGGCCCTAGCAGTGGCACTGAGGGTGGTAGTGGTGACGGTGCCAGTGACGGCACCAGCCGGTCTTTGAGCCCTAGCTCCTGCCAGGACGCGCCAGGTCTCTTTTCGCCCTGGCGCCCTCTCCACGTCAGTGTGCCTGTCTCAGGGTTGAGCAGACCAGGCCCAGGGAGGGGACGGGCCTTTCCCAGAGGTGCTGGCCCAGGAGGTGGCAGAGCAGGGCTGGTGCCGGGTCTGGCAGGCCCTGCGGAGCCAGGTGGCCCCCAGAGAGCCACTCGTGACCCCAGAGGGAGAAGACAGAGGTGGGACTGCAGCGGTACGCCTGGGAGGAGGCCGCTGAGAGGTGCCCGGCCTCGTCCCCAGGGCCAGGTGGAGATCGAGGACCAGGTGGAGGGCTTGCAGTTCGTGGCTGAGAAGTACGGCTTCATCGACCTGAGCCGCGTCGCCATCCACGGCTGGTCCTACGGGGGCTTCCTCTCGCTCATGGGGCTGATCCACAAGCCCCAGGTGTTCAAGGTGGGTCCCACCCCCGGCCAGCCCACTGCGCGCCCACCCCTCCCCGTCCGTGCCCGCCCGCCGCCCCCAGAGGCGCCTCGGCAGGGGCCTTGCCACGTGGCTGTTTCTCCCCGCAGCAGCCCCACGGGGCCGAGCCCCCCTCCTCATTGCCCGCCACCGCTGACCCCAGGATGGCATCCGGCTGCGCAAAACCCTGCCAGCAGCTCTCTGTGGGAGGCTGAGCCCGGGACCCCGGCCTCGGATGGGCAGAGGTGGGGCATGGTGTGAGGAGCGGCGGGAGGGGCCCCGGGCCAGCGGCACCGCCAGGGCGCTGCGGGGCGCGGCCATGAGGAGGAGGAGGCGGCGGAAGGGCAGGGGGAGCAGGGCCCCCACCCGCCCGTGGTGCCCTGCCCGCCCTGGAGCAGCTCACGGCCCACGGGGACACACGGTCTGAGGGCCCCTCCTGCCAGCCCCAAGTGCATGACCGCTCCTGTGCTCAGGGAGGCCCCGGGATGGCGGGCACAGGCTCCCTGACCGACGCCCCGTCTCTCTCTCTGTCCCCGTCCGCTGTGTCCTTCAGGTGGCCATCGCGGGCGCTCCAGTCACGGTCTGGATGGCCTACGACACAGGGTACACGGAGCGCTACATGGACGTGCCAGAGAACAACCAGCACGGCTACGAGGCGGGTTCCGTGGCCCTGCACGTGGAGAAGCTGCCCAACGAGTAAGGACCGCGCCCCGCACCCTGCAGCCCTCGAGGGCTCTCCCGCCACCCCAGGGGCCTGCTGCTTCTCCAGCCATCGGGCATACTCCTCTGCCCCAGCTGGCTTGAGCCACGGACCCCAGGCCACCCTCACACCTCCCCCATGGTGCCCTGTGGCCTTGGCAGGTTTGGCATCAGCCTGTGTGTGTCTTGAAGCCGCCATCCCCTCCCCCCGCCAGTCCTCCTTCCTCACCACCCCCCTGGGAAGGGGCGCCCAAGGGTGCTCATGGAGGGAGGAGGCCCTGGCCCTACCCTCAGAAAGATGGAGGGAGCCGGAGCCACACCCTTGTCATGCACCGGCTGTCCTAAGTGGTGTCCTAAATGGTGACAACGTCCAGGGCTATGGGACCAGTTCAGATGTCCTGTTTCACACTTTGACGTTGGCCTTGGCCTCACTTTCTGATGGAGAGAGAAGGGCACTGCCACTTCCTGGGTGTCTCCGTCAGGTTGGCGTCACCCGGGATCCTGTGCAATTGCGGGGATGCTTATAGTCCCCCTGCGTCGCTCTCCCCAGGGTCTGGAGCGTGGCCTGGGCTCCCGGCGAGGGTAGCGTGGCATCTCCCGGGACTCAGCACCCTGGACCTGGCTGTCCAGCGTGAGAGCCGGTCGCCACACTCATCCAGATCAACTAAACGAATGAATCCGTTGGGACAGAGCACAGATTGGCAGCTGCCCAGGGATGGGGAGTCACTGCTAATGGGAACAGGGTTTGGCTTCAGGGTGATGGAATGTTCCGGAACTAGGGAGAGGTGGTGGTCGCACATTGTGAATGCACCAAATGCCACTGAATCCTGTACTTTTACCTGGTTACGTTTAGGTTATGTGAATTTTACCACAGTTAGATTATTTAGTTGTATGCAGTGGTGTGCACTTGTAGTCCCAGCAGTTTAGGAGGCCGAGGCAGGATCATTTGAGCCCAGAAGTTCAAGGCTGCATTGAGCTATGATGACACCACTGCACTCCAGCCTGGGTGACAGAGAGAGATTTTGTCCCCAAAAACAAAAACAATTTCTGTTCATCAGTCATTCCTGCCACATTTCAAGTGTTGGTTGGTACAGTCTAGAACATTCTGTTGCCGGCTGTGCTGTGGACCAGCGTGCTGTGGAGCCTCTCCTGTAGCTCAGGGACCTGTTCGCACAGACACATGCTCCTGTCCCCTCCCTGCCTGGGAGCAAGGGGGTCTTCCAGACCCGCCAGTTGTGGCCCAGGCTTACGGAGCCGGGGCGGGGGAGAGACTCAGCCCAGTTGGGACCATGGGCAGTGGCTGGAGCCGCTCGGGGCTTGCGGAATTCTGGACTCACCAGTCCCTCTCCTGCCCCGGCTCGAGCCCAGCCTCACACCCCCTTCACCCTCACTGCGTTCCAGGCCCAACCGCCTGCTCATCCTCCACGGCTTCCTGGATGAAAACGTGCACTTTTTCCACACAAACTTCCTCGTCTCGCAGCTGATCCGAGCGGGAAAACCTTACCAGCTCCAGGTGGGTGGCTCCTGGGGGCACCTGTACTGGGTGGTCCCGGGCGTGGCAAGGCAGCCTGGTCCAAGGTGTTTCCCACCAGAGGCAGAGGCTCCTGGGTCCCTGGTTCCAACACTGCTGCCCTGCGCTCCTGAGGGTCCCTGCTCACGGTCCCTCCATCTGTCAGTCGTGGGTGGATCACGCCTGGGAGCACAGGGTGGGGGTGGGGCGCACTGTCCCAGCCCAGGGCCTGGGAGGGAGGTCGCTGAAATTGACATTTTGACACAAACTTAGAAGCAACCACAGGCTGCCGAAGGCATCTAGCAGGGCCGTTGCTAAGGGGTCAGTGGCCCTAGAGGAACTCCCGGGGCGGGTAACATTTAAGGGTTCTGGCGTGAGTGAGGAGGCACCAGGGCTGGGGACCCACATGTGGACACAGAAACGTGAAAAGGGAGCAGCTTCCTGACGGGACCAGGGTGGCTGGAGCCAGCCAGAGGGGGCTTTGGAAGGGGCAGGGCTGGCTGGGCGGGGCCTTGGCTGTGGGGGCGGGGCCTTGGCTGTGGGGGCGGGGCTTGGTGGCAAGGGGGTGGGCCTTGAGGATGAGGGGTGGAGCCTTTGGTTAGGAGGATGGGGCTTCTGCAGAATGGGGATGGGTCTCAGTGAGGCGGGGCTTCAGTGGTGGGGTGTGGCTTTAAAGGGGCAGAGCTCGTTGAGGGGCGGGGCCTTTGGTGACGGGTGGGGCTTCTTTAAAGTGGCAGGGCCCCCTTGTGGGGTGAAGAGCTGAACCCTCAGCAGGACTCCCCTGGGCCCCCACATCCCAAGCTGCCCTGGAGGCACGTTCCTCACAAACAGGCGCAGGCGGGAACAGAGTCAGGAGGATCTGTGACAGAACCTCGGGTGGCCCTTCTGAGCAGCCTCGGGCCGCACTTCCCCATCTGCAAAATGGGCACTGTAACCCTGCCTCCTGGGTGCTTGGAGGCCACATGAGTCCTCGCAGGAAAAGCGCTTAGCACACGAGGTGGGGCCGGGTGGAAGCAGGGCAGTGTTTGGGATGCATGGAGCGCACCCCGCCTTGCTTCAGACACCCCGAAACAGCTGGACTGGCGGCTGGCAGCCACAGGCCCTCTCTGTTCGCAAATCACATCTGCCTCGTGCCAGGCTTGGGCTGGGGGCGGAGAGTTCAGTAGAGAGACCCGAGCCCCTCCCTCTGCCCTCCCAGCTCGGGGAGGGACAAGTGACGGAGCAGCCAGGACCCAGGGTGGCGTGGCAGTGCGGGCACAGCATGAGCGATGGCTGTGGTGGGCTCACGGGATCTGTCCCGGGTGCTGCCAGTGCCTGGGCTGGGGCAGACAGGGCCCGTGAGGTGGCAGGGGCTGCAGGACCCGAGGCCAGTCAGGCCATGGGTCCATGTCAGGCCGACGCAGTCTCGCAGAGGCTGGGGACCATATTGTCCAACTCTAGATTCATCCGGAACCAGATAAGGAAGGCAAGGGTGTTGGGGGGAGAGCAGCGGGCGGCTTGGTGCACTCCCAGGCCAACGGGCCAGGGTGGCAGCCGTGGGCCAGGGCATGTCTAGAGAGCCCATCTCCGCCGCACGGGCCGCCCCGCCTTGCTGCCGGCGCGCCAGTGTTCTCCGGGGGAGTCCGGCCGCCAGCCCCCAGAGGGCGGGGCGCTGTTCCTGTGCCCATCAGCACCTTGGGAGACCCCGCTCTGCGCCCAGGGGCAGGACACACACTCCGTGTCCCTCCACCCGAGGGCCTGGATGTCACTGGGCCAGGTCCCAGGACACTAGGGAGCTCCCTGTCACTGTCCCCCTTTTGGCTTAATCCCCCTTGGGTGGTAAGAGAACCCAGAAAACACAAAGCTTGCGGGGCGGCCATGGGGGCCTAGAGCTTGTCGAGTGCAGTTGAAACATGGCCTTGTGGTGAAAGGAAATTAGGACGAGGACCCCAGGTGTCTCTGAGGCTTGCAGCCTTGCCCTCGGCCTCCTCCACAGAGATGGGTCTGTCCCTCGGCAGGTTTGGCGGGTGCGTGGCACTTTATAGAGCTTGTCTTGCCAGATCCTCCCAGTGAGCCTGTGGTGTCCGCACTCATGTCGTTTTTGAGAAGGGCTAGAGTTAACGCTGCGAGTCAGTGGTACAGGTGGGACTCGAACCCAGGTCCACGGGCCTCAGCCTTTCCTGTCGGCACCCTGTGCCTGGTGGGGGGGGAGCCCTGGGTGGTCCCGCAGCACCCCCAGCCTGCCTCGTGTCTCACCCAGATCTACCCCAACGAGAGACACAGTATTCGCTGCCCGGAGTCGGGCGAGCACTACGAAGTCACGCTGCTGCACTTTCTGCAAGAATACCTCTGAGCCCGCCGCGCCGCCTCGGCTGCCTGCCCGCCGCCCGGAGCCGTCACAGCAGAGCACAAGTGGCTTCGAGGCCGCCACCACCACCCGGGGACCAGGCGGGAGGGACCGAGTGGCCCCACGGGCCCGGACGGGACGCCTCTCCTACCCCGCTGGCCAGCCCTGCTGCCCCGAGGAGCCGCCGCCTTCGCCACCCTGACGCCTTTTATCGTTTTCTTACTGCTCCTGGGTTTTGCCTGCTACTGCTTGGTGGCCAGGACAGAGAGATGGTGGCCGGTCCCTCCGAGGCTTGGCCTCGGCCATCGCACCTTCTGCAAGGAGGAAGCCACCCGCCGCTGGGCACGGGGAAAGCCAGAGCTCAGGCCACCCCGGCCAGAAGAGACTCGGAGGAGCGGAGCACCCTCCACCTGTGGCTCCCGGTGGCCCTCGGTCTCCTGACCCGGCCAGCCACCGTCCCCAGCACAGAAGCATGCAATTGCCTGTCCTCCCCACCAGCCCCCCACTTCATGTTTGTGGTTTGTTTTAGGGGGTGTTTTTCATAACTATTTAAAAGACAGAAAGCAAGGGGTGCCTATATCTAGACTCGCTGTGGGGTTTCAACCCAGCCCCTGGTGAGCCCCAAAGCCCAAGCGGAGAGTCGGAGAGTCGTGAGGGCCCGGCAGGAGCGGCCAGGGCCTGCTGGGAGGACCGCACCCTCCCACGCCCGCCTCTCCCCCGAGCTTTCAGGCAGGGACTGAAACTCGTCGAGCTTCAGCGCTCTGCTGGTCAGCGGCCGCTGTCCCCTCCCCAGCCCAGCTGTCAGGCCACGTGTCTGTCCGGCCCATGCCCACCAGGGGTTCCGGGGTTGGGAGTTGGAACCACCCCCACCTCAGGGTTATACTGTCCCCTTCCTTTCCCTCCCACCAAGAGTTCTGCCAGCGGTGGGCCAAAAAAAAAAAAAAAAAAAAAAACAAGAAGAAGAAGAAAAAAAATACAGAAACAAACCACCTCTACATATTATGGAAAGAAAATATTTTTGTCAATTCTTATTCTTTTATAATTATGCGTGTAAGAAGTAGACTCATTAAACGATTCCAGATGGAAACGTGCCCCTGCCTCAGGTTCCTTCTACATCCTGGGCTCCTCTGAGTGGCAGGGGCATCCCAGGCAGTGATCACCACCTCCCAGGTCTTGGCAGTCACCAGGGACCACTGGGGACCTGGGGCTGCCCTGGCACGGGCCCAGGAGGGCTGTCACAGCCCCTAGCAGATGCCCACCCCTGATCACACTGGTCCAGGGAGCACAGTCCCAGCTGTCCTGGTGAGAGCATTTCGAGTCCTCAGAGGTCCAGAAGGTCGGTTGGTCTCTAGGGACCCAGCACAGGATGTCGGGTGTGGTCTCGGCTCCCCCAGCGCCACGGCACAGCCGGAACCGAAGCACCCGTCAGCCACCAGCACTTCCAGGATCACGAAATGCCTCGGCCCCAGGAAGTGCAGGCCGAGCCCCCTTCACGTCTGTCCCAACAGCAAGACACCAACAAGGGAGACCCCGGTGACCACACCCAGGGCATGCAGTTGTGCTGCTGACAGCAGGGAGGGACTGCCCGACCCAGTCCACTCTCTCCATCCTTTGGAACGCTCCCCTTTAAAAAAAAAATGGGTTTTGGCCAGGCGGGGTGGCTCACGCCTGTAATCCCAGCACTCTGGGAGGCCGAGGCGGGCAGATCGCTCGAGGTCAGGAGTTTGAAACCAACCTGAGCAAGAGTGAGACCCCGTCTCTACTAAAAATAGAAAGAAATTAATTGGCCAACTAATATATATAGAAAAAAATTAGCCGGGCATGGTGGCGCATGCCTGTAGTCCCAGCTACTCAGGAGGCTGAGGCAGCAGGATCGCTTGAGCCCAGGAGTTTGAGGTTGCTGTGAGCTAGGCTGGCGCCACGGCACTCTAGCCTGGGCAACAAAGCAACACTCTGTCTCAAAAAACAAAAACAAACAAACAAAAAAAAATGGGTTTTAAAGAGAAATAAATCTCAGTACAAAAAAGGATATTTAGGGGAAAGACATCTTTTTGCCTTCCTAGAGATAACCTCCCCCCCCATCTAGCATGTTCTTCCAGGAACAGCCCACGTGTGTATGTCCACACACAGGTAGGTAATGATTGTGTTCACCTATATCGTGGTTTTTTTGCTGAATATATCTTGGTAGCTATGCCTCATTATTGTGCTAGATCTGCCTTATTTTTTTTAATGCCTGCATTCTAGTCCGTTGTGCAAATGTGCTGTCATTTATTTCGCCAGTCCCTAATACACAGCCCATTCTGAATTTTTAGTTAGTGTAAGTCAGGAACAGCAAATTTTAAAGGGCCTGATGGTAAATATTTTCGATTTTGTGGGTCAGCCTCTGTGGCAGCTATTCAGCTCTGCCATTGTAGCACAAAGACAGCCTTAGATAAAATGTAAACGAATGGGTGTGCCAATAAAACTTTATCTACAAAATCAGGCAGCTGGCCAGATTTGGCCCACTCCTGTATAAATGATCCTGCAACAAATAGATTTATATGTGTTTTTGGTGCATATGTATATATTCATAAGATAAATTCCTAGAATTTAGCAAAAGGCATATTCACTTTTAATTTTGAAGAATATTATTATATCACATTACCTTCCAAATGGAATGCCTCAAAGTACACTCCTACCAAGAGAGAAGTGTGCCTATTTCTCAAGTGCTCAGTATTATGTGTTATCAGTTTTTTCTTTGCCCATCTTATTAAATACAAGAGAAATGTGGCATCTCCCTGCACTTTGAACTCACATTTCTCTTACATATGTGGATCTTCTTTTTCACATTTTAAGTCATCTGTTTTCTGGTAATCATTTGTTGAAGTCTTTTGCCCACCTTCCTTTTGACTTGTTGGTCTCATTGATTTGTAATTGCTCTTTATATATGAAGGAAATCAGTCCTTTGTCATACATGTTACAAATCGAAATATGTTTCCAATCTCAATGTATTTTATTGGTAGGAAGCTCACCCAGTGAATCTTTAAAATCATTCTGTCCAGAACAAGAAAATGTCATTCCCTTAATCCACTGTAAAACCAAGTACAGCAGGAGACCCAGCCATAAGCCACAGAATCTGGCTCTGACTAAAGAGGACAGATAGCACAGAATGACAGAGAACTGGTGGGAAAGGGGTTAGTGGGGTTGCCCCAGGAGGCTTGGTAGCCGGACACGTGCAACTTTCACCAGAACCTTCTATACTGCCTCACTGAGTCAAGATTCAAATTGTCATGAGACAGTATCCACTGGCCAAACCGAGGTCACTTGCATTCCTGCCCCTGACACCTAGGCCAGGAAAGGGAGGCTAACATCTCATTGCCAAATCATGGAAACTTGACACTGGAACAATACAATGAACCCAACTGTTGTTCGGTGCGGAGGCTCATGTCTAATCCCGGTGACTCGGGAGGCTGAGGTGAGAGGATCACTGGAGCCCGGAGTTCAAGGCCACCCTGGGCAACATAGCAAGACCTCATCTCTTAAAAAACCCTACTCCAAACCTTATTTGGATTTTGCCAGCGTTTACACACACTCATTCTCCGTGTGCGTGTGATTCCATTCCACATTCTCGCCTGCACAGATTCTGGTAACCATCACCACAATCGAGACACACAACCCTTTATTCACCACAAAGGAACGCCTTCACACTGCCCTTTAATATTTCCATCCACCCCCATTTACGGTGTCTTGCCCATAGAGAGAAAAGTCTGCCATACTTGTGTGATCCAGTCTTTTCCCTTAGGACTGCCAGATCCTGGAAAGCAGGCTCTTTGGAAGGAAGGTTGGTTTTCTTTCAGTCCCTTTAGTGTGCTAATGTTTTTTTTTTTTTTCTTTCTAAGCAAAAGGCAACAAAAGAGGCCTGGGGCTCAAAGTCTTTCTGGAAAGAAAACACACACACACACACACACACACACCTGCCTGTGTTTAGCAGGAGGCTCCAACAGCTCACAATTGAAATACCTGATTTACTTCCTAAAAAAACCACAAAGAGCCCAGTCTGGGGATAACCTACAACATATTCCTGAGATTCTGTGCTTTCCAGTCAGGAAGGAGTAGGGACACCGGCTCAATTCTTGACCCTCTAGATATGGCCATTGACGTTTTCTTGAAAATTTAAACACTTTTATGATTTTAAAAAAATGACATCTTCTGCAGTTGAAAGCTTGGGATCGAATGAGAGCAACAGCTAGTAATTAGAATTCTCACCTGGTTCCTTCTGTGGCAGGAACTTTAACTGCAGCCCCTCACTTAACCCTCCCAACAACCCCTTAAGGTAGGGATGGTTTTCTTTTTAACTGTTTTTTGTTTGTTTTTTTATTTTATTTTTTTATTTTTTTTGAGATTTGAACCCAGGTATGTTTTGTTTTTTTAATAAATTTAACACTCCTAGAAAATCTACAGGATGTGGCCAGTTCTCCCTCCCATGTCCCTTTTCTGGCCTAGGAGCAAATCCTGAATCCTACATGGCGTTTAGCTATCTTCCTCTCCTCCTGTGACTGGTCCTCAGTCTGTCTCACATGATACTTGTGAAGAGTCCTGCCGGTTATTCTGTAGAAAGTCCCTCAATTTGGGTTTGTCTTGGTGACTAGCTCAAGATTAGGCTGAGGTTGTGGATCCCACTGAAGTGCTGTGCCTCTCCCACTGCGTCCTATCAATGGTCCCACAATGTCACACTCGTTTTCGGTGACATTGACTTTGCTCACTGGGCTAAGATGGTGTCTACTTTCCTCTTTGTAATTACTAGAAATCTTGGGGAAGGCTGGGAGCAGTGGCTCACACCTGTCATCTTGGGGAGGCTGAGGCAGGAGGATGGCTGGAGGCCAGGATTTGAAGGCCAACTTGGCCCACATAGCGAGGCCCCTCTACAAAAAAAAAAGTTTTTTTTAATTAGTCCTAGCATGGGTGACAGAGTAAGACCTCGTTTCTGAAGAAAAAAGAGTTTCTAAGTATCTTGGGGGGAAATACTTTGAGGCCATGCAAATATCCTGTTTCTCATCCTACTTTCCCCCACTAATTTTGAACTTCAACCCAGAGATCTCAGCCCACAATTGTGAAATGTTTGCCTAAAGCTGACCTTCGATTTCCCTCTACATTTACTAACTGGAAAAGCTTCAGAGTCGGTGACACGCATGGCAAGTGAGGGACGAGGGTCCCCTGAGTCCCGGGAACGACCTCCGCGACCACCCAAGACGACACTGCAGGGAACCCGGGCTCCCTGGGACAGGGAGGCCCCGCCCCTTATAAGCCCCGCCCCAGTATGGTGTCCCCGCTGGACGCAGGGAGCGGGGCGCGCCTGGTGACGTCACCCCGCCGACGCCGACGTGGCCTCAGGCGCATGCCCCACGTGTCCCTCGCCGCGCCCCGTCCGCCCGCCCCTGCCCTGAGAACGCTGTTCCAAGATGGCGGCGCCCAGCGGAGGGAGCAGCGGCGGCGGCGAGATCCTGTGGGCCGTGCTGCTCCTTGCCGCCGTGGCGCTGAGGCCGGCGGAGGCGGTGTCCGAGCCCACGACGGTGGCGTTTGACGTGCGACCCGGCGGCGTCGTGCACTCCTTCTCCCAGAACGTGGGCCCAGGGGTACGTGCCACCGCCGTCCCGGGCATCGGAAGCGAGGGATGGTGCTGGTCGGTGGTCCAGGGAGGCTGAAGAAGGGGCGAGGCCTGAGGAGGGGGGTGCGGCACGGTGGGGGTGGGGTCGTGGCTGCACTGGTAGCAGGCGGGGCGTCCTGGGGGCTGGCGAAGTTGAGGGGGCGTGGTCAGGAGCCTCAGCGCCCGTCTCACCTGTCACCTGCCGGGCAGCCCGAGAGGAGGGGCGAGGCCAGTGAGGAGAGCGACGGAGGCTGACGGGTAGTTCCCCAGCTCTGTCCCCAGCTTGTCAGCAAAGTCCTTTCCTCTCCCAACTTCCCTCTCACCACCTATCACAGTAGCGTCAGTAGCTGCTGTTTGTCGAGTACTTACTTCCTTATAGCCAGATACGGCGCCAAGTTGTTTGTATGTCAGACTCGTTTTACAGATGAGGAAATACAGGCTCTGAAAGGTTTTCCCTTGTTCAGGGTCCCCAGTTGTCACTGCTTCCAAAGCCCATGTTCCTAGAGGGTAGAGGGGTGGGTGTTGGCGGGGTGTGACCTCCCCTTTCCTGTTCTTTGTGTCCCAGAAGCCACGTGGGTTGTCTGTCCTGACCCAGGAGCTCCACAGGAGGGAGACAGGCAGGGACGTAGAGGCCTTGCAGGCTGGGCTGCAGAGTCACCAGCCAGAGGGATTGTATTGAGTCTAGATGTCCTAAGACCCTGTACCTTTAGCAGTAAGGATTACCTTCTACCAAGCCTCTTTCCTCTCCATTCTCTAGGACAAGTATACTTGTAAGTTCACGTACGCTTCTCAAGGAGGAACCAATGAGGTGAGTCGTTCAGAATTCCACTTAGCTTACTATGACGGTATTCATTGTCATACAGAGACATTCTCCAGGAGACAGTGGAGTTGGTTCATGCATGCATCAAGGTGTTCAACTATTCCCGCTTAACCAATAGAAGGGAAAGTGCTCACCTTAAAAAGTGACCACAGATTCCACCGCCGTTATTCCACAGAGGGGGCAAGTGTCTGGACAAAAGGAAGGACGTGAGCTATAAATCTACCATTCCCAGGAGCCTCTGCTCAGGGTGTTGTATTTGGTTTCTGTGCTGTTTAACAAATTACCACAAACCTAGTGGCTTAAAACAACACCCATTTATTGTCTCCCAGTTCTGTAGGTGAGAAGTCTGGGTCAGCTCAGCTGGGTGTTTCATAAAATCGAGATCGAGGTGTCACTGGGCTGGGCTCTTAGCTAGAGGCTCTGGGAAAGAGTCCTCTTGTAAGCAATTTCAGGTGGTTGGCAGAATTCAATTCTTTGTGGTTGAAGAACCGAGGTCCTGGTGGCTCACGCCTGCTCTGGGAGGCCGAGGTGGGCGGATTGCTCGAGGTCAGGAGTTCGAAACCAGCCTGAGCAAGAGTGAGACCCCCGTCTCTACTATAAATACAAAGAAATTAATTGGCCAACTAATATATATAGAAAAAACTAGCCGAGCATAGTGGCACATGCCTGTAGTCCCAGCTACTCGGGAGGCTGAGGCAGCAGGATTGCTTAAGCCCAGGAGTTTGAGGTTGCTGTGAGCTAGGCTGACGCCACGGCACTCACTCTAGCCTGGGCAACAAAGTGAGACTCTGTCTCAGAAAAAAAAAAGAACCGAGGTCCCTGTTTCCTTGCTGGCTGTTTTCTCTAGCTGGTGACCGAAAAGCAACAAAGATTTGAAGTGTGAGAACACATGCAGTGTTGGCTGGCTTTGAGGGGACCATGTGGCCAGGAGTGCAGCAGGCCTGTAGGAGCTGAAGGCGGCCCCTGGCTGGCAGCAAGGAAGTGAGCAGTTCAGTCCTACAACCTGGAGGAAATGAATTCTGCCACAATCACACGAGCTCCAGATGAGAACCCAGCCAACACCTGGATTCCAACCTGTGAACGCTGGGTAAAAGACCCAGCCGTGCCGTGCTTGACCTACAGAACTGCGAGCTCTTAAATGGGGGTTATTTTTTAGCTACTAAATAGGTAGCAATTTGTTATGCAGTGTAGTGGGTTGAAGAGTAGCTCCAAAAAGATATATCCACATTCTAATTCCTGGAACCTGTGCATGTGACCATATTTAGAAAAAGCATCTTTGCAGATGTAATTTAGTCAAGGATCTTGAGATGAAGATATCGTCCTGGATTATCTAGGTGGACCTTACATGCAGTGACAAGTGTCCTTATAAGAGACTCGCAAAGGACATTTTATAAGACAGAAGCAGAGAAGAAACAAGGAGAGGCCGGACGTGGTGGCTTACATCTGTAATCTCGGCACTCTAGGAGGCCAAGGCGGGCAGAGCACTTGAGGCTGGGAGTTTGAGACCAGCCTGGGCAACACAGCAAGACCCCTTCTCTACAAAAGGTTAAAAAATTAGCTGGATGTGGTGGCTTGTGCCTGTAGTCCCAGCTACTCAGAAGGCTGAGGTGGGAGAATCACTTGAGCCCAGGAGTTGGAGGCTGCAGTGAGCTATGATGAGGCCACTGCACTCCAGCCTGGGTGACAGAGGAAGACCCTGTCTCAAAAAAAAAAAAAAAAAAAATTACAAAAAAAGGAAACATAGGGAGAAAGCCATGCCAAGATGGAGGCAGAGCTTGGAGAGATGCAGCTACAGCCAAGGGACACCTGCGGCCACCAGAAGCTGGAAGAAGCAAGAACAGAAGCTCTTCTGGTGCCTTCAGAGGGATCATGGTCCTGCTGACACATTGATTTTGGACTTCCATCCTCCGGAACCAGGAGAGCATGAATTTCTGTTGTTAGCCACCAAATCTGTGGTATAAAGCCCCAATGAATACACCGCATCGGCAGAAAACAAATGCAGCTGGGACTACACCGTGACAAATTAGTGCTCTGTGAATGAAATACTTTTGTTAAATTCTAGCTAGGTACTACTGCTTGGCTTTTGTTTGGAAGAAGAGCAGCAAGTGTTTGAGAAGAAGCACAAGACAGAGCTTCTCCTTGGAATTATTAGAAAGAACAAAAGGAAAAGGACGAACTGTTGCTGTGAAATCAGAAAAAACACCTTCCGTTTACCTAAAAGGGCTGTCCTCCTCAACACCCAGACGGTGGTAAATGCTCCAGCTGCAGAACATCCCATGGCACCGAGTCCCATAGCGGTGTAGTCTAGAGATGGGCTGCGTGGGAGCCCCGACACCGCCAGCAACGTTCTCAGAGCGGTGCAGGCTGGTTCTGAGGCCGGGTCGTCTCCTGGGCACTGCGGACTGGGGCTGGGGCGGGCCGTCCTGGGCCTGCAGGCGCTGAGCAGCGTCCCTGCCCCCACCCTCACCATGCCCAGAGCACCCTTTCCCCCAAGTTGTGACAACCAAAAATGTTCCCAGACATTGCCAGCTGCCCCCTCAGGGACGCCAGTCCAAAACCACAGGGCTCCAGTGCCGGGAACTCCACTTTTTAAAAAAATTTCAGGTATACTTTGTAGATGAAAGTCACAGTCCATTTGGGCCACTGTAACAGATGACCGTAGGTGGCTGGGTGGCTCAAACAACAAACATCTTTTCCTTGAAATTCTGGAGGCAGGGATGAGGGTGGCAGCAGGGTCTGGTTCTGGTGAGGGCTCCCTTCCTGGTTGTGGACGGCCGCCTTCTCGCTGCGACCTCACACGGCAGAAAGAGGGCAGTAGAGCTCTCTGGGGTCCCTTTCCTAAGGGCAGTAATCCCAGCATGAGTGCCCTACCCCCCCACCCCACGACCTCATCACCTCCCCAAGGTCCCACCTCCTAAGCCCATGAGACTGGGATTAGCTTTCAACATAGGAGTTTCAGGGGGACAGAAACATCGAGCCCATTGCAATTCCCAAGTTCAATATTTTAATAAAATGCAGCAAACCCTCAGCAGCCTCCCTCCCAGCAGCGCCAGGGGTCATAGCTCTGCTGTGGAACGTCACCCCCCTTCTGTGACCATCTGCCTGGCCCCTGGGCAGTGGGCATATTGCCATTGTCCACTTTTCCATAAATACCTCCAGGCCTCACAGCTCTCCAAACCTTCCGCCCCCTTGTGGGACGGTGCCCCGAGTGGTGGAACACTCTCCCTGATGACAGTCCCCCAGGAGCGTCCTCTGCCACGCCTCAGCCCCAAACTGCATCTTAGTTTCTGTGGATAACAGATGTTTCGGACAGTAAAATCACAGTGGCACCACTGACATGGGCTTCGTGGGAGCCGCAGGCCGCGCAGAGCCGAGCACACCTTTCATCCTCACCCCAACCCCGAGGCCGACGCCGCGCCGCTCCTCTCCCCACTTCACTCGTGAGGACTTGGGGCCCGGAAGCTGAGTGAGGCCCCGGCTCCCATAGCTAGGAAGTGTTAGAATGCCCCCAAGGGGCAGATGCCTACTGCCAGGCATATGTATTTGTCACCAACAACTAATAAAAATCATATCAGGACCGGGCGCGGTGGCTCACGCCTACTAGCTCCACGCGAACCTCAAACTCCTGAGCTCAAGACCAATCCTCCTGCCTCAGCCTGCCCGAGTAGCTGGGACTACAGGCATGCGCCACCATGCCTGGCTAATTTTTTCTATATAGATTTTTAGTTGTCCAGCTAATTTTTTTCTACTTTTTAGTAAAGATGAGGTCTCACTCAGGCTGGTCTCAAACTCTTGACCTCGAGCGATCCTCCCACCTCGGGCTCCCAGAGTGCTAGGATTACAGGCGTGAGCCACCATGCCCTGCCTAAAATCCAGAGGTTTTTTTTGTTTTGTTTTGTTTTTGAGACGGAATTTCACTCTGTTGCCCAGGCTAGAATGTCAAGGAGTCAGCCTACCTCACAGCAACCTTAAACCATAGGTGTGTGCCACCATGCTAATTTTCTATTTTTTATAGAGACAAGGTCTCACTCTTGCTCATGCTGGTCTTTTTTTTTTATGAGACCAGGCTAGATAGAGTGAGTGCCATGGCGTCAGCCTAGCTCACAGCAACCTCAAACTCCTGGGCTCTAGCGATCCTCCTGCCTCAGCCTCCCGAGTAGCTGGGACCACAGGCATGCGCCACCATGCCCGGCTAAATTTTTTTTTCTATATATATTAGTTGGCCAATTAATTTCTTTGTATTTATAGTAGAGACGGGGTCTTACTCTCGCTCAGGCTGGTTTCGAACTCCTGACCCCGAGCAATCTGCCCGCCCTGGGAGGCTGAGGGCAGTTAGTTGCTAAGCCCAGGATTTGAGGTTGCTGTGAAGCTAGGCTTGACGCCATGGCACTCTAGCCAGGCAAGACAAGTGGACTGTTCTCAAAAAAAAAAAAAAAAAAATTAAAACTTTAAACATTCCAAAGCAATTATTTGATTATCACAGCTCCGAAAAACTGGCCCATGGAATGCAACCCACTGTTTTCCGGCTCCTGGGGCAATTTTTAGTTGTGCTAAATAACATGGTTTACAGCCTCTCGCAAGATCAATAATGCTCTGATTGCTGGGATTCCCGGTTTAACTTGGGAGCTTTTTCATTAACAGAAACAAGGCCATCTTTATGTTAATTATAATGGGAGTAATTGGTCACTTAGTTGCATTTTGCCTGGAAGCACAAACGTGGTCACCAATTATACTCCAATGACAAGGACAGGGACGTACAGGGATACCTTGCTCACTTTTTTTTTATTAGAACACCGGGCCATGGCTCCGGGGCCTGTGAGCACCACAAACAGCCTTATCCAGTGAGCTCTATCTGCGAAGCTTCCCACTGGCCTCAGGGTTCCGGGCCAGGTCAATATTTAACTTTTGAAATTATGAATGCAAACAAATGAAAAGCCAGAATGTTTTTTGTTTTTTTTTTGGCATTCAGTTCGATCTGTTGCCAGGCT